GGGAAAATGGGCCGAAAAATGGGCCGAAAAGGGGCATTTTCGGGTGTTTTCAAATTTGAGATTTCAAAGCCAGATTTTCGGCTTTAGTTGGCTGGGACATGCCCAAATTGGTGTGGGTGAGTTGCATAGAGGTAGTACAAGTGTGATCCGTTGCAGAAATCCGGGTTCCCAAGATTCAAAATGACTTGAAAAGATTTTGTAAAAAATTGGAGACATTTTGGAATCCATGGGAATTTTTTGGAGACATCCATATTTCGCCCTAAAACGTCTCCAATGAGTTTGGCTGGCACCCTGGTTGATCTGGAAGTACGTTACCAGTTATTTGGGGCCTTCAGGGGGGAAAATGGGCCGAAAAATGGGCCGAAAAGGGGCATTTTCGGGTGTTTTCAAATTTGAGATTTCAAAGCCAGATTTTCGGCTTTAGTTGGCTGGGACATGCCCAAATTGGTGTGGGTGAGTTGCATAGAGGTAGTACAAGTGTGATCCGTTGCAGAAATCCGGGTTCCCAAGATTCAAAATGACTTGAAAAGATTTTGTAAAAAATTGGAGACATTTTGGAATCCATGGGAATTTTTTGGAGACATCCATATTTCGCCCTAAAACGTCTCCAATGAGTTTGGTTGGCACCCTGGTTGATCTGGAAGTACGTTACCAGTTATTTGGGGCCTTCAGGGGGGAAAATGGGCCGAAAAATGGGCCGAAAAGGGGCATTTTCGGGTGTTTTCAAATTTGAGATTTCAAAGCCAGATTTTCGGCTTTAGTTGGCTGGGACATGCCCAAATTGGTGTGGGTGAGTTGCATAGAGGTAGTACAAGTGTGATCCGTTGCAGAAATCCGGGTTCCCAAGATTCAAAATGACTTGAAAAGATTTTGTAAAAAATTGGAGACATTTTGGAATCCATGGGAATTTTTTGGAGACATCCATATTTCGCCCTAAAACGTCTCCAATGAGTTTGGTTGGCACCCTGGTTGATCTGGAAGAACGTTACCAGTTACTTGTACTACCTCTATGCAACTCACCCACACCAATTTGGGCATGTCCCAGCCAACTAAAGCCGAAAATCTGGCTTTGAAATCTCAAATTTGAAAACACCCGAAAATGCCCCTTTTCGGCCCATTTTTCGGCCCATTTTCCCCCATGAAGGCCCCAAATAACTGGTAACGTACTTCCAGATCAACCAGGGTGCCAACCAAACTCATTGGAGACGTTTTAGGGCGAAATATGGATGTCTCCAAAAAATTCCCATGGATTCCAAAATGTCTCCAATTTTTTACAAAATCTTTTCAAGTCATTTTGAATCTTGGGAACCCGGATTTCTGCAACGGATCACACTTGTACTACCTCTATGCAACTCACCCACACCAATTTGGGCATGTCCCAGCCAACTAAAGCCGAAAATCTGGCTTTGAAATCTCAAATTTGAAAACACCCGAAAATGCCCCTTTTCGGCCCATTTTTCGGCCCATTTTCCCCCTGAAGGCCCCAAATAACTGGTAACGTACTTCCAGATCAACCAGGGTGCCAACCAAACTCATTGGAGACGTTTTAGGGCGAAATATGGATGTCTCCAAAAAATTCCCATGGATTCCAAAATGTCTCCAATTTTTTACAAAATCTTTTCAAGTCATTTTGAATCTTGGGAACCCGGATTTCTGCAACGGATCACACTTGTACTACCTCTATGCAACTCACCCACACCAATTTGGGCATGTCCCAGCCAACTAAAGCCGAAAATCTGGCTTTGAAATCTCAAATTTGAAAACACCCGAAAATGCCCCTTTTCGGCCCATTTTTCGGCCCATTTTCCCCCCTGAAGGCCCCAAATAACTGGTAACGTACTTCCAGATCAACCAGGGTGCCAACCAAACTCATTGGAGACGTTTTAGGGCGAAATATGGATGTCTCCAAAAAATTCCCATGGATTCCAAAATGTCTCCAATTTTTTACAAAATCTTTTCAAGTCATTTTGAATCTTGGGAACCCGGATTTCTGCAACGGATCACACTTGTACTACCTCTATGCAACTCACCCACACCAATTTGGGCATGTCCCAGCCAACTAAAGCCGAAAATCTGGCTTTGAAATCTCAAATTTGAAAACACCCGAAAATGCCCCTTTTCGGCCCATTTTTCGGCCCATTTTCCCCCCTGAAGGCCCCAAATAACTGGTAACGTACTTCCAGATCAACCAGGGTGCCAACCAAACTCATTGGAGACGTTTTAGGGCGAAATATGGATGTCTCCAAAAAATTCCCATGGATTCCAAAATGTCTCCAATTTTTTACAAAATCTTTTCAAGTCATTTTGAATCTTGGGAACCCGGATTTCTGCAACGGATCACACTTGTACTACCTCTATGCAACTCACCCACACCAATTTGGGCATGTCCCAGCCAACTAAAGCCGAAAATCTGGCTTTGAAATCTCAAATTTGAAAACACCCGAAAATGCCCCTTTTCGGCCCATTTTTCGGCCCATTTTCCCCCCTGAAGGCCCCAAATAACTGGTAACGTACTTCCAGATCAACCAGGGTGCCAACCAAACTCATTGGAGACGTTTTAGGGCGAAATATGGATGTCTCCAAAAAATTCCCATGGATTCCAAAATGTCTCCAATTTTTTACAAAATCTTTTCAAGTCATTTTGAATCTTGGGAACCCGGATTTCTGCAACGGATCACACTTGTACTACCTCTATGCAACTCACCCACACCAATTTGGGCATGTCCCAGCCAACTAAAGCCGAAAATCTGGCTTTGAAATCTCAAATTTGAAAACACCCGAAAATGCCCCTTTTCGGCCCATTTTTCGGCCCATTTTCCCCCCTGAAGGCCCCAAATAACTGGTAACGTACTTCCAGATCAACCAGGGTGCCAATCAAACTCATTGGAGACGTTTTAGGGCGAAATATGGATGTCTCCAAAAAATTCCCATGGATTCCAAAATGTCTCCAATTTTTTACAAAATCTTTTCAAGTCATTTTGAATCTTGGGAACCCGGATTTCTGCAACGGATCACACTTGTACTACCTCTATGCAACTCACCCACACCAATTTGGGCATGTCCCAGCCAACTAAAGCCGAAAATCTGGCTTTGAAATCTCAAATTTGAAAACACCCGAAAATGCCCCTTTTCGGCCCATTTTTCGGCCCATTTTCCCCCCTGAAGGCCCCAAATAACTGGTAACGTACTTCCAGATCAACCAGGGTGCCAATCAAACTCATTGGAGACGTTTTAGGGCGAAATATGGATGTCTCCAAAAAATTCCCATGGATTCCAAAATGTCTCCAATTTTTTACAAAATCTTTTCAAGTCATTTTGAATCTTGGGAACCCGGATTTCTGCAACGGATCACACTTGTACTACCTCTATGCAACTCACCCACACCAATTTGGGCATGTCCCAGCCAACGAAAGCCGAAAATCTGGCTTTGAAATCTCAAATTTGAAAACACCCGAAAATGCCCCTTTTCGGCCCATTTTTCGGCCCATTTTCCCCCCTGAAGGCCCCAAATAACTGGTAACGTACTTCCAGATCAACCAGGGTGCCAATCAAACTCATTGGAGACGTTTTAGGGCGAAATATGGATGTCTCCAAAAAATTCCCATGGATTCCAAAATGTCTCCAATTTTTTACAAAATCTTTTCAAGTCATTTTGAATCTTGGGAACCCGGATTTCTGCAACGGATCACACTTGTACTACCTCTATGCAACTCACCCACACCAATTTGGGCATGTCCCAGCCAACTAAAGCCGAAAATCTGGCTTTGAAATCTCAAATTTGAAAACACCCGAAAATGCCCCTTTTCGGCCCATTTTTCGGCCCATTTTCCCCCCTGAAGGCCCCAAATAACTGGTAACGTACTTCCAGATCAACCAGGGTGCCAACCAAACTCATTGGAGACGTTTTAGGGCGAAATATGGATGTCTCCAAAAAATTCCCATGGATTCCAAAATGTCTCCAATTTTTTACAAAATCTTTTCAAGTCATTTTGAATCTTGGGAACCCGGATTTCTGCAACGGATCACACTTGTACTACCTCTATGCAACTCACCCACACCAATTTGGGCATGTCCCAGCCAACTAAAGCCGAAAATCTTGCTTTGAAATCTCAAATTTGAAAACACCCGAAAATGCCCCTTTTCGGCCCATTTTTCGGCCCATTTTCCCCCCTGAAGGCCCCAAATACTTCCAGATCTACCAGGGTGTCAACTGTAAATGCCCTCCCTGGTCTATTAGGACAGTTAAAATTTATTCTTATCTTGGAATTCCGGTTCCCAACGATGTTTTTCGATGAATTTCAGAATTTAAATTTTTGGCATATTTTATCTTCACCATCCTTTTTCACCGGTTCAAAAAACTTTCCTGTCATATTAGAACTGATAACTTGTAAGATAGATCAGTTTTAGGCTGTTTTGGGCGAAATCTGAAATTGAGAAAATGTCTCCATTTTGAGGAATCATTATATGAAAATTGCCATGCTTTTTTTGTTTCATTTAGTAACGCGCAACGACGTTTTTTATGGTAGTTTACCACCCTCAACAATTTTAAACCCACAATTATAGCTAGGAATGCGCTACGATGCTCGCGCGTCGCTAGGGCCATCCAGAGAATTGAAATTGCTACGATCAGCATAGCAGATCTAGGCATTAGGCAATGCATGCTAATGCTAAACTCTAAACTCTAAATGCAATAATGTTTATTGAGGAAGAGGTGACTGGTGACCCATCAGACCTCATGTATTGACGGTTGATTTCCTCCCACCATGGCCATTGCCACGAGGACTCGTGCTTGCACACATCAGCTGTAGTCCTATCCGGGTCGAAAAGTGGCTTCGTTAGCTTTTCGTGTTTGCAGCGATTTTTCGAAGGTTATGACAGCCGCGGATTTTTCGAAGGTAATGACAGCCGCGGCAAAATTCTTGCTTCAAATTGTATAATATAGAAAATCCATAAGATGAGTTTTCAATAGTCTGTGGCTCACTGCTAATCAACATTTTCAGTTTTTCAAGAGATGGTGTGATGGTCATGTCTATCGACAATTTGCCCTGCCAGCTACCTCGTGAAGCTACAGAATACTTTGGGGATTGCTTGATGCCTCATCTTGCCGACTTTGTAAGACTGTGTTTTCATGGTTTTGTATTTTATTCGTATGCATGATTCTTTAAGTTCTGGAGATATTGAATCTTCCGTACCAGATTCTTAACAAATTAAGTATATTAAAGTATATTCCCGGCCCTAAATCGGGAAAAAACCTACATTTTAATATAATTTAATATACTTTCATGTACCCAAAATTAGGCGAGCTATATCCTTCGTTAAAATTTGAAAGATAAGCCTGTTTTTGGACTAGTACATGAATTTACATCCAGTTTGGTAAAAAAACGGCTGAGTTATGAGCTTCAAACCATATGCCCATATTTGGGCATACGCACCAAATTTGAAAGCTCTGCCCAAAATTTGATCAAATTTCAATATTTTTGTGGGCAGTGATTTTTGATTTAAGCCTCCAAAAAGATAGGGATATATTAAAGTATATCCCCGGCCCTACATTTTAATATACTTTAATATGGTCAGCCACCCCCCCCCCCCCCCCCCCCCCCCCCCCCAATAACATGTTCTTATAACCGGATTTTTCAGTTGAGTTTGACACACGATGAAAGCATATTATCTCAAGCGAACAACACTTCTCCATGCATATCAAGGGTAAGACACAGCTCTATTGGATAGTCTAATGTAATTGTTTGGCCTCGCCCTCTTTCATAACCCAATCTCTTAGTGATAATAGTAAATCACAATATCTTTGCAGGCGATAATCACGAACCAGGGAGATCTAGCTCCTGATTATAAGTACATTTCTCTGCTGCGGAAAGAACAGTAAGTATTTTCTAACTGGCATGATGATTTATTATACAGAATATCAGACAGACTCACATAGTCTAGTACCAGATATTGTAGCAGATAGTACCAGATAGTACCAGAAGTAATTTATCGGAAGTTGGATCAGTTAATTTACATTTCCTCAGTTATGACACAATTTGTTAATCAAAATATGTATTGCATTTAATTTAAATGTCAGATTTTAGGACTTAGGGAGGGTTACAGGTAAAGAAATATCAGCCTGACCAGTCCGCTTTCATTTGACCCTCTTATTTTTTACCTGTACCCCTCCCCCAATTTAGGGAGATTAATTGTATAATTATGTATATAATTAAATTAGTTTATATATAGGATTTATATTTATGAATTTCGATACCGGGACTGCAAAAGCACTGGGACTATAATAACTAATAAAAATGAATGTTTAAATTTAAAACTCTGCTAAACCGATGAATTATCATATTGAATGTTCTGGCTTGATCAGTCTAATTAGGCTAATATTATTTGAATTTTGCAAACTTGTACATAAATTATTTGTATTTTTAGCAAACAGTATTGTAAACAATTATATTACAAATCCGAGAGTTTATACCAAAAGAATTATTTTACTGAATACATTGCCTCCGGGACCAATTTTTTCATGAACTTTAAATTCTTTAGTTGTCCAGTTAACCTGCACTTCCTCAAACCATTAACATAATAGTATAATTACTTGTAGTTCATAACCCTTTCCTAATTCCACATCACTTCGCATAGTCCCCGTCAGAATATTGTACAGTATTGTATACCATGTACAATGTACATTGTACATTGTACATTATACTGTGTATAGGCATAGCTTTATGATACCCACAATATGATAGCCATGAGGCGATGTTGGGCCCGTTTCTTCATCACACTAAACCAGAGAGCTCACCCATCTCACCCTTCTTTCAGAACACTCGCACACTTCTCCGATAATAGGTTACTGCTTATTGTTAAGGTTTCTCAGCTATTCGTTTTAGATATCATTTAATGGGCTTATATCTTTGAGTGTTTTTCACTGACCTGTGTTTTTGTAATATATCGCATTTTTTTTCAGCATTCTTTTAACTACCGTTCATTTACAAAATCTATCTTTTATGAAGACTATCTGCTAACATTTAACGATCATATAGCATTTCAACAGTTTTTACACGATTGTAATGTTATGAGTCACACTAAACAGGGAAAAAGGAAATCGCGGCATGTGCGGGATCGCGATTTTACCCATTCTTTGCGACAAATTTTATGTGTCGTCTGTTTGGCTTGTCGCGGTATCGCGATTTTTGGGCAAAATAATCGCAATTTTCTTTTGTCCCTGACACTAAATGGTCTTCAGATAGTTAACCCATGTCACGTGTGATGTGACATGGGTTAACCATCCCACGACCCTGATACTAAATATTCAAACGACCACCTCTAGAGAGTTACAGAGGATCGCAGAGACGGCAGGAGCTCGAAGTTTGACTAGCAAGGAGTATAGGAGTGATAACAAACGGGTTCTGCTGCTCGGTTCAGGTCTAGTTTCGGAACCGGTGGTGGAGTATCTCACCAGATCAGCTGATGTCAGGATAACTATAGGTCAGTCTTTTACCCGATTAAACTTTAGATTTTGATAGACTTTGGAAGAGAATTCTGGGTAGCAATACTGAGATTATTAAAACACTGGTCTGGTCTATTTTCAGTTATCCACGTGTCTTGTTAAGCTGTTTAAATTTGATTGATCTGATCCCAATCCAATCTCATTAGTGAACGAGGTCACCAGTTTAGGCCTTGTCATTGTCAACAATTGAAATGAGGAACGTGCATCTATTTGCATCCAGATCTATTGAACAGATAAAATTAAACTTAAAAAACATACTGAAATATCGTTATGCCATTATCATAAGAATGGTATGGTGGAAATATGTCAGTGGGTCAATTCAACCGATACCACATATTTTCTGGGACTGTGATTTACGCTTAGGCATCCAAACACTAAAATATAAACTTAAGTCTCACAACTTAGGCTCAAATGACGAAGCTCAAGCTACAGCCTTGGCAAGTAAATACAGAAACACAGTGCCTCAACATTTAGATGTGGGAGATAGACGGAACCTTAGCAATGAAATAGCTAAACACGATCTTGTTATCAGGTGAGGTCTTGAAAACACAAGGATTTATTAAAGTCATCACTTTATTCAGTTTAGATATGTTAATGTTATTATTTTGGAAACCTACAATAATTTATATCCTAACTTTTCAGTCTGTTGCCAGCAACAATGCACGCTTTTGTTGCGGAGCTCTGTATCGATGCGAGGAGGAACATGCTGACGGCTTCGTACGCTTCTGATCAAATGAGAAAACTTGGTACACGGTAAACAACTTTTTTACTATTATTTTATATACGACAATTAATATTTAACATATTAGGTCAGTTAGCACTTAGCAGTCACAGGAATCTTATTATATAGGTGCACTGTTAAGAGTGTTGAAATGTTGGGTATTTCAGTTAATGTAAATAATAGAGCAAGGAAAACGCTAATTAGACGATAAACTAATGAAAATCACAGTGTAAATTCTTCACTATACAGTTTTCTGATTGGGAGAGTCGGGACTGTTTTGTAGAACAGTGCAATCCGAGTTAAGACATTCCAACTGGATGATATCAGTATCACGTACCATGTTGTGGTCTAACCGAGGGACGCTGGTTGAACCTCTTCTTACCGCTAAACTCCCTGTAGCGGCTTTTTTCTGGACATAAGACACGGTGTATCTTCTCATTTTGGGTGTGTCGTGGATAATGGTCCTGTCTTTTGACGAAGTATTGAAAGATCGTTTGATGGAGTGTTTATGGGATTTCTTGGATGGTTTGTTGTCTTTATCAAGATTAAAAGAAACCCTGCTGCACCGATCAGAAGAATTAAAACTACCCCTGAGCAGGCGAGGCTGTAGATAACTATTTGGAGAAACTGTACTGAGTTCCCCCTCTACCCCTATAGTTCTGAGATCAGTGTCTGATCTCCTGAGGACAGCTGGAGTACAACTGCTGATATAGGATGTCCTGTGTCTACCACCACCCTGAGTCAGACCTCTTATATAGTTCTTGACAGAGGGGTACCCCAGAATATAGATTATAGGATCTGAAACACCGTTCAAGTAAAACAGGGTCACTGTAAATATCTGGGACACTTCGTAGTTCATGTTTATGTTCCCAAAGTTAGCTATGATGGAAGGAAACCAGGCTACAATCCCAGTAAAGATGACTAGGAAGGTGACGAGGAGCATCCTCCGAGAGTTCAGTTTCTCGACCCTTACCCTCCAGATCATTGCAGAGTACATTATAATCACCAGTGCGAATGGTACGAAGGTGAACACGATGTACCGGACGAAGAAGAGATCCTCTGCTCCGGAGGTCGTACAGCGGTGGTAATTGAAGTAGAATTTCGTCTGAAAATATAACTTTTGAAGATTTTTCACTATCGGGGATCAAATGGAACCGGTTTTCAAGGGAAAATAAAGCATCTACATAAAAATGTATCGATTATACTTCTTCTACCTGTACTGTTCCTGTGAGGTAGAGTTTAACGTAAACAGCCAAGTAGATGATCTTGAGACTCCACATGAGCAGAGCGAGTAGAGTGCACTTCTTCCTAGTGAACAAGTAGCGGTGATGGAACGGGAATACTATAGCTGCAAACCGCTCCAGGGTCAGAGGGACCAGACTCACTGTGTTACACTGTCTGAGAGAGCGAGGTTGCGACATTAATCAGATATTAATGTTATATTATTATATGTTGTATTTATGTCAAGATGTTCAAAAAGAAATATAAAAAATAACACAAAAAAAGGAATACAAATTGAGCCATAGAGCAATGTTCAAGATGCCATCTTACCCCAGAGTATTTAAAGCAATAGCATAAGCCCCACAAAGATGGTTCTGCCTGCTGTTATCTCCCTCGATAACAAATATAGGGAAGAGTATCCCCAATCCTCTGAACGTCCAAGGACTGATATTATCAGGTTACTGATCGCCAGGTTAAACATGAAGATGTTCTGCGAAAATTTGCGTTAGGACTGTGATGGTCAGAAAATTTAAACTCAAAATAAGAAGATTCTGCTTTTTAAACACAACCAAAAAATTGAGCATTTGAAGTGGACCAGGAACAGTAAACATAGTCAGTGACTACTAGTCACTGACTATGTACTAGTTACTGTTTAACTAGTTACTGTTTATAACTCACCTGGTGTCCAGGGAGTTTCACTTTAGCGATGAGGATTATGAACATAATGAAGAGATTCAGTATAATTCCACCAATACTTGATACAGTTAGAATTCCGCCCTAGGGGTTGTAGAAATGATAAATATTAAAGTATTAAACAGCTTCTGATTTTACCTGGCACGCCAATCCCAATACGCGGCGCTCTTTTCGAGCTTCTCGCATATACGTGAGAGGAGCGAGCAATAGACTTGCAAGCTAGGTAACTTCTGATTGTAAAGAAACGTCAAATTATATGGATTATAATTCTAACACGGGGTGAATTCTGCTAATCAACTACAGAAACCAAATTCAGATGAGACCTACGTTGATCCATCTGAAAGGACACACGTTGAGCCCGTATGTAGTGTTTAGACAGGGATGATCTTGTACAATGTAACCCATTCTCTTTTAGGTTTCCTCGCATTAACTTGTACCCTAGTTTTAAATAGTAATATAATAATGTGGGATAACTTGATATTTTTTTTGAAAATGAAAAATGGGGGGGGGGGGGGGGGGGGGGGGGGCTGACCATATTTAAGTATATTGGAGGCTTAAATCAAAAATCGCTGCCCACAAGCTTGAAATGCAATTCTTAATCGATTCCGAAAATTTCATGCAAAAATATTGAAAACTGATTGATGGAGTTATTTTAATTTTAATGGAGTCATTTTGGCTAGTATCCCGATTGAATATGGTGTGGACTGTGGAGGCACACTCTCGAAGAACATTTTTGACGTTGTTGATTTCGAAGTGGTAACCCGAACCGTGGTACTATGTGTCCCTGACCTTAAAAAGATATGCGTCGGACAAAAACGTTAAAAAAAGATTGCTACAAGTTGCTGATGAGATTAATGCACAGCTTTTTCCTGACGCGTAGATTTACCGTGGTAATGATCTGTTATCCACAAACTTTTAAAGCAGCGCGGCATTTCATGTAAGCATCATTTAATCAAATCAAGAAACCATAGCAAGATTATACGCCGCATTTCATTAGTGCAGCTAAGTGACCAAAATATTTCAAGCTTTTAAAGCTGCGGAACGCTCCATTTAATTTTGAACCTTAAAGCTCAAAATAAGCTGCGGAACGCTCCATTTAATTTTGAACCTTAAAGCTCAAAATAAAAACAACTTTTGAAGCCCGTTTATGTTATATACTTGAAGCGTGTTCAATGTTATCAAGAACAGGACTTGTCTATTGAAAGGGGGGTTACGTAGAAGGTTTTATGCCTGACAGTGATTACTGATTTCTCTCAGCAGTATTCACTATTTACTATTGAGGCAAGCTAAAACAGTTACAACGTGACAGTACATTTTGTTCGAGTCCCTTCATTTAAAAAATGCAGTAGGGATATACATTATCCACAAAAATGGTAACAATAATGTATAAAGAATGAGTGTAGATTACCGATTTGTAACAAAAGATATGAGATTCATTGTAATAAAATTGTTACTTCTTGTAAATTGTAATCGCTTTTTCCATACACCAATAATTAATGGAAGCCGTTGATAATTACAGTTAATAATTACATTGTCTTCCAATAATGATACCGATCAGATATGACGATTCCTATTTAATAAATTCAGACAATTTACATCAACAATAAACATGAATATTGAATATACTTAGTGATTTGTTTAAAATTGTCATAGATTGCTGTCATTAATGCTTGTTGTCATGATGATTGAGATGTAAATACATTCGCATTATACACGCTTTCTTTAATACGTGGAACTATACGTAGAACGGTGCACTTTTAGACTATAGTTTAAAGTAAGCTCTGCACTGATCGAAGAGCTGCATAAACCTAGCTAGTCTGCAAACAGAAAGCAATAAGGTGGTGTCTCACGGTGTAGTTCACCATTCTGAGGGTGGCCTCAGAGTAAATGCTTCAATGAAGGAAATGCCGATCAGATATGACACTTCCTTCATGATAATTTCAGATAATTCTCATCATCATGAATATGCTCTGTAGATCTTTGGTGGTTTACCAATTGGTTATCGGTTGTATTTGTAACTTGTGCTTTAAGAATTTCGTCGCTCAACGTATCAAAAGCAAACAATCCACCTTGAATGCTAGTGAGTAGATTTGGCCTGACTTCAACTTAAATTAACTTCAGTCGTGCAGAAAGATTAGAAACAGATGGACGATCGCGAACTGTCGATCTAAAAATAACAAACAAAAAACAATGCTCTGAATAATGACCTGTATCCTCTATTTCGCCCCCTAATAATCGAACTCTACCATCACGTGTACGTTGTGACAGATTGCTACACACGATTTTATTTTACGGACAGAAACTGAGGCAGAAAGATATCTCGTTCTGTTAATAAGTTAATATTTCTTAAATCAGCACCAATAGGAACAAACACGGTACAAGTAGGCCCTTGACCTTATATCGGTCAACAGTTACGTATGATTAAGCTTCAGTGCGGTTTGACTCTGCGGCTGCCGGAGGAAATAAAGTACACATTGTCTGATAAAACAAATGAGGAAACAGCCCTCGAGTTCGCTACCTGTCGACGAGGACTGAAAGTCGGCAATCCGTTCACATTATTCGAATTCAATAAGGGGTAAACAACAGAACAATCCTAGTAAACTGGATAGTTTCACAAGTCTACGCCAAAAAGTGGCACTTCATTAATAAAAGAGATGCGTCGTGTTTGTACGCCAGGTGGTTTTAATACGAGAGCACACGGCTCTTGACAGAGTCACTGAGTTAGATAAATTATGTTTAAATGGATAATTTTTGTTGGCGCATCAGTGATTTCTTTAATGGTGTTAGTTTCCTGATGTTCTGAACTAAGTGAATATTATCATGATACACTATTTTGAAAGATACCCAATCCCTCGGTAGAGTTGTGTTACTACTCGACCACCAGCTGGGATTGCCGATTTTGTCCGAAGTACTGAATACCTCCAGCTGCGGCCTGGGAAATCTAGTTGACCGTACGACTGTATCATCAGCCAATATAAATAGGATAAATAGTAACTTTAGGTCATGAGGAGCAGGAGATGAGCTCCAAATATTTGGCGTCAACCGTAATCAGTAATATCAAGATAACGTTAACGGTTAACAGCGAGGAAATATTTTAAGAATGATTATCCGCTACTTTGAAACGGAGACATAAGTCAACTGGATCCACTGTAAAGTTACTGACATTATGCAACCACCAACTACCAATCTTCATCAAGCACAACCTTACAACCTACCATTCCTTCTCTCTTCCCCTTAGAACTTGTCCTGATCTCACGTGATGTAAAGATCACGTGACCGGTTACAAGTCACGTGACAGGTTATACGTTTGTCTTATTGTCGTGTTGGGGCTGCTGCTTGGTCCTCTCAATCGAGGGCTCTGTTCTCTTATCTACCAATGTTTTAATTTGCGAGATGAGAGCAGTCCCTGGAGGGAGGGCAGCTTTGTTCAAACGAGAAATAGAACTGATTAATCAGGGGGCTAGTCTTTATGTTAACCTTCATCCTTGTACCGTTCTATAACTAGAAATCAGACAGGCCAGTTGGGTGGAACTGCGTCAATCATCATGTTCATTAAAATATACGTTGAGCTGTTGGTATCAGTGCCCCATGCTCCCATGTGCAACACCTGATAAGATTACTTCAAGAGGTCTCATATAGTTGTTATCTTGACTGTGTATATTATAAATCTATATTTACAAGATGGTTGTTGATCTGATGATTTGTATGGTCTGTTCTAAGGATGATTCGTTCAGGATTGTCAATCATATTACCGAAAACGAAAGTATTTAAACATAATATAATTAGTTTCATTAAGAGCAAACTCATCTTTCAAAACATCCAGATGTCACATACCCATGTTGGGAGTTCTGAATCTCTCATCATGATTTACTTCAGGGCAGCTCAGAAAGGCGTCATTTTGTTCAACGAGATAGGACTAGACCCTGGTATTGACCACTTGATGGCTATGAACCTGTTCGATGACATAAAACAAAATAACGGAACTGTGGAGAGTTTTGAGTCGTTCTGCGGAGGTCTCCCCGCTCCTCAGTTCACCAATAACCCACTCAGGTATCTTCTTTAAATATTTAGTTTTATAAAACTAGAGTATAAATACTCTATTACTTTTGGGGTGGTGATAAGGCAAATAATTCTAGGAAATCCATGGCGAATTTAAAGCAACATGAATGAGAATGATGTCTTTATATAAAATACTGCCAGAATTAACAAAATATTGACCAGGTACAAGTTCACGTGGTTCCCGAAGGGTGTGGTTACCAACGCGCTCTCAGATGCCAAGTATCTTAAAGATGGCAAGGTTCGTCCGAGTGTCTCTTTTCTTGATCATTCTAAAATTTCTAAGAGACTCTGTAATTATTTGATTCCTATTTTCCAAAATGATCCGCAGCTCAGGATGATCCAGAGTTCGTATTATTTGCTGATTTTTTATATAAGTTCTGAAATTAAAATTAAAAACAAACTGTTTGCCGACGAGAAGGAGAAAACAGCTGCCTCCTAAAAATATTCACAAAAATTTATCAACAAATGTTAAGGGTTCAATGTTGCAGGAAGTTGTTGTTGAGTCTGGTACCTTGATGCAATGTGCCCGTCCGTTTGAAGTGATGCCTGGCTTCAACCTGGAATGTTACCCAAACAGGGACAGCACTATTTACAAGTGAGTTTTATATTTGGCTCCAAACTCATTAAATGGTTATTTGAATTAAAGAGAAAGTTATAGAGTCATGAAGTCAGGAGAACATAAATTCATAAAATTTGGAATACATCTCCCCCATCGGGATTTCTATGCTTATATTTATATTAACGAATTATGTTAACGATCCTGCCCCTTTACTAATATCTTTATTACTTTTTCAGGGAAGCATACGGTATAGAGGCAGCACACACGGTATTAAGAGGGACTTTAAGATATAAAGGATACTCCATGGCCATGGATACCCTCATTCAACTAGGATTCTTCAAATCGGATAAAATGGATCTCTCGGGATATTCTTGGGTTAGTTTTTATCGATTTGTATACTTTATTTTCGTCTGGATAATGAGGATACGAATGAAAAAACATTTTAACTTTTCAAGTTCAGCGAATTTGATTAATATGTGAATATGCAATATCTGAATTCGGCTGATATATACAATAAGACATAAAATATCATCGTGATGACTAAAAATGGTTATTGAATTGATAATTTATTTGAGTTTGATACATTTTACAATCCCATGAATACTAAACATATAATCCATAATCATACTCTCTGTCCATTCGGATATCAAACAACTTTATCACCAACAATCTCGTTATACAGCTCCGGATCTGTAGCTGCCTCTGTGTTAACCACTAGAACTACCGACTCATCGTCTAACTTAAGATCCTCTCGAAGTTGGCTGTTGTTCCTGGCAGCCATTAGAACCGCGTAACCACAGCAACCAGATTCCCCTGCTGTCACTCCCTTCTGGTAGAGTTCTTTGACCGCTGCAACGGGCCACCCGTCTCCCAGGGCCACGTACGCACTGCAGTGGTCCCGCAACAGGGGCCAGGCTGTTTTGTAAGCAGGAATACCACAGTTAAGTCCTGCTGATACGGACTCAGTTTTGCCCTTACACGCCAACGTACCATCCCCAGAAACCCTGAAATTCTCTAGGATACAGTCCGCATCTGTAGGTTCAACACAAATGAAACGAGGCGGGGGTTGTTGCTCGGAGAGACAGTACGCGATACCTCCCGCTGCGAAACTTCCCACCCCGGCCTGCAGGATCACGTGAGTAGGCTCCATACCGTGCTGCTCCTTCATCTGGTCCAGAGCCTCTGCGAATATGGTGCTGTAAGCGGTGGTGATGTCACGTGGTATTTGCTCGTACCCTTCCCAGGATGAGTCACCCACTAGCACCCATCCCTTTTCCTGCGCTGATCGTATCACCTCCGCCACCGTGGTGTCGTAGTCCCCGTCCACTTCCACCACTTCTGCTCCTTGCTGCTCTATTCTCTCCCGTCTGGCTCTGACCATCAGTTTTGGCACGTAGATCACCGCACGGTACCCCGCGTGCCGCGCGGCGTACGCGAGTCCTGCACCATGGTTACCGTCTGTAAAGGTAGTGACTGTGTCCCCCTCCTTCAGATCCCCCCGTACCTCCAGCCTGTGTATTGCGTATGTACCACCCAACACTTTAAACGCTTTCATGCCCATCCTCTGTCCCTCGTCTTTAAGAAACACCCTCCCCGCCCCCTCTAGTGTCCCCAGATCCACCAAAGGGGTCTCCTCACACCCCTCTAGTACCTTGTGGAATGCTAGAGCTACAGGAATTTCTAGTTGTATTCTGTCTAGCAGGTCCGCTGCGTCTTGAAGTGGGGTTTCCTTTGGTTGTGATGGCAGGTGTTTGACCTCTAGATCTGCTGAGAGTTCTGCGAGTGACTTTCTTTGAACAGACATTGTCTTGGGAGGCTGCAAGGTTTATAATTTACAATCTGTAAGAACAGATTACAACATGGGAGGCTAAAACTGAGAATCAAAGAAAGAAAATTGTAAGAGGCGATAGAATCGCGCCTGAAAGTGATAAAAACCCGTAGTTTAATGTAATGTGAAACTAACAGGAATCTGGCTATGTCGGTGTTTTTCTCCTAAGAGACATAATTGATTTAAAAACGGGCGTTTACCGTAATATAGAATTTCACAGATAAGACTGTGTAACTTTACACACGTGTTGTTCCATTTTTGCAAAACGACTGGTCAGTTATAATTATATAAAACGAAATGACAGTTTTGCGAGGTAAACACAACTAATTTCCAAATAGAAAAGTGGCCAGTTATCAGCACGGATTTTAAAACCTTTGCGATTTGTCTATCATTCTCCTTGGCATGTGTTATTTCAGCCTCGTAATTATTCCAAAATGACATATGCTTGATCTCTGCAATCAATTAGTTCGAATGTCTCGATGTACATCTATATATAACCCAGACATATAACTGACATATAATCCGCTGAAAGTGACGTATATTTATAATCCGCTGAAAGTGACGTATATTTATAATCCACTGAAAGTGTTCAGAGGAACGTCGCCCGCTGTATCGGACACGATTGGGTTATTGAGATTGACCAGGACCGAGGAATGACGGGGCTAACTGGTAAATTGGTAAAACCTTACCGGGGCCCACGAATTCACAGCCCTAAGCTGAACCTCCTGTCCCCGCTTTAAGTATATTATACAGAGAAAATAAATTATGCAGAGAAAATCAATCTCAAAGAATAGCAAATCAAAGATTTGTAAGAACATTTTTCTAAAATGCTGGTCAGACGTTGCCCAACGGCGGAGAGGGTACATGCAAAGCCGTACGAAAAAATGCTCGGATATTGTATATTTTGTAAGATAAAATGATGAATGCGGTGGGTACAGGAAGTAGAATTCTGACAAGATTAATGTTATATTTATAGTTTCCTAAGCTCTCAAGTGGAACAGTATTTCTAATTAAAACTCCGTTTATGTTAGTCTCATCAAACTAGCCGACATTTGAAATAAACACACTGAAATTATGGTTAATCTGATCTCAAGTCTAAAATTATGGTCAGGTGTCATTGTTCATGTCTTTATTTCTGTGTTTATTTTATGATTGACTGACACACATCCTTTCTTTCCAGTCAGCAATAAACTTTTTATATTGACTTGTATCATACTAACACATTAAACATCAATAATTTCAGGCAAACTTAACGAAGCAGTTGCTAGGCAACAGATCCATGTCACATCAAGAATGTAAGAAGAAACTTCTGACTCTGTTTAGCGGTGACAGGTTCAGGGCCTCCACAATCGTCAAGTAAGTACATTATAAGTATATTACAAGTAAGTTTTCTTTTTTTCTTTCAAAGTTGGTAAGTTTCCGAGTTGATTTCCACTCACTAATTAAATTCGTCGTCCTCTAATCGTGAATTACCTCTGCCTCCTTCATTCAATATAATTATTGTTCCTATCGTCAACCAAGCTGACTTGAATGACTATTCTAGAATTCTAATTAAGCCCACAAACATGATTCGAGGTCCAATGACCGTGAACATTCCAATAATCTGTATCCCTGTTAGGTTAGGATTGTTAGATAACGACAACATACCAGCTGGTATAGACAACCCAATGGATGCGCTGGTGGAGAAGATATCCTCTTCCCTGATGTTGCCTGAAGATGAGACCGATGTTATTATTATGAACCACTCTGTCGGAGTTAGACTTCCGAGCGGCAAATGCGTTAGTGATGTTTTGTCATTATATTCGGATCCAAGTGATAATGCCCTGAATTAGATAAACTGTCGAATCATTCATTTGCTCACAAGTGTGTTTTTAATCATTTCTGGTGAGAACCCATATTTCCACCTTGAAGTTGAAGAGAGCAGTTCCTCTCACCCTGGTAGATAGTATCTCTGAAATATCTCCCCATATCAGGAGACACACAGAAGTAACATGGTAGTTTACGGGGAGGAGGGAGGTTGGACCGCCATGTGTAAAACTGTCGGACTTCCTGTCGGTATTGCTGCTGAGATGATAATGAACGGTCAGTTTTAGGAAAAATCCAGGATTTATTCATCATAGTCATCAATTCTATTGTAGGACTAATTTTTTATCGAATATCATTTATTTATTGCATGGTAGCGTTGATAACAGCCTCTGGAAGCTAAAAACAGTTCACTTACTTAAGTTTGTTCCCAGGTGAGATAAAGGAGAGAGGGTTAGTTTTACCATTTACTAAAGAGATCTACAAACCCATGTTGAAGAAACTAGAGCTTGAAGGAATCACAGAGAGACGCGAAGTGGAATCTGAGGATTTATAGAGAGTTTTTTCTAAGGGTTTATAAATTTGTATTCCTGTCTGAAATTGAATAACCCCTGCGTACAGTGACCACTGACCATGCTAATCGAAGAGCTAAAAAGGGCCTACTTAGGACACTTAAAATATAGGTTATATTTTTAGGACTTACTTGCTTTATGTTACTTTAGTCATAGTTGTATTTGGTCGTACAGCCTTGTCAACGTTGTAAACTTACGTCTTCAATCCGAAAAGAATATCATCAAGCTTTGCTTCTAATATTCTTTTGTTGTCGTTAAAATAATTATCAACGTTGGTTAGGCAGTGGCTTTAGTTATATTTAGATCGAAAACAATTTTTTTCGTATCAGAATGTACAAAGTTTATTTAACTGAGCTAACATTATTATATTAGTAGTATGGGGTCGCTCACATATTACGTAATCAATTTTTTGGCAATTTTTACCCCCCCCCCTCCCCCTCCGTAATCAGTTTTACACATAGCTATTGTGTCAGAATTACACGAGCGTAATCATTTGGAACCTCCCCCCCCCCCCCCCTCGGCTGATTACGTAATATTATGTGAATGACCCCTATAGTTGTAAATTTTGCTTTTAGTGAATATTTTAAATATTTGGTTATATTAATTTATTTGTTAACATGTTTCCTATTATACCGCTTTTTCTATACGTTATATCAGAATCAGGACATATTTGAAGAACTTTTCAATAGAATTTTTCGCCATTTAATATTTGCAGATTATGATTAAAATCCGCTGGATATTTGCTAATTTCCTTCTAAGAAATGGGTTGAACTACTAATTTAGTTCTGTTTCAAACACAGTATTTTACTTTGTGTAGTATACAAAAGTCAAAAAGGTGTACGGAAAGAATGCCCACTCTATCCATGACCAAACTATAACTAGCTTAAGCTACATTCTGAACGCCACTAATGACTTGAAAACGAACTGAAAATAAAAATATGAGTATGACCATGCTTGGCAGTTGTTTGCATGATCTTGATTCTGCAGAATTGTGATGTTATAGTTGCTGATCACCATGGTAACAGTAACCATGTTTACAATACCCTTTAGGAAACTTATCACTCAGAGTCGGAAGTAAGGCAATAGTTCGGGTTGTCATGGTAACGATAAACTCAATATATTCAGCGCTAAAGATCAGGTAGTAACAATATACTCACCTCCAGCCCTCTTCATTCAATACTGTGCTAAGGATGGTTAAATTCATTACATCTTCTAAAACTAGCGAGTTTTCTCTCACTTTTGCTTCTGAAACTTTAATTTGCTCGTAGATTGTATTTGGAACACGACTTCGAACTTTTAAAATGTTCGCTTTTATCTAATACTTAATAGACCTGAGGGCATCCCCCCTCGACGTGAATTATGAAAAAAAATCAGGGTTTTTATGTTATTTAGTTATTTCATTTCAATATTATGAGTGTAGTGTAATATGGTAAGCTGGTTGCAGCAGGGTTTAGGCTTTTTAGATCTTTTAGAATATTCTAGTATTAGTGTTAAGTAACCGTTAGGATTAGTATAAGATTAGATTAGATTAGTGGAATAGATTATGGATGGTTTTGCGGAGGAAGGCACGTGTTAGCCAGGTTAGCTAGTTAAGTTAGGTTATTGGACAGACTGGGCCGCGCGGTGTCACGTGGTTCGCCATGTGATGTCACGTGACCCAGTGCTGGTAGGTTTTGCTTGCCCCGTTAGCGGCAGTTCTTCGAGTGGCTTGTTGGGTAAGGTTTATAAAATTACCGTTGCCGAAGAACACTGTCTAAACCCTGCCTAAACCCTGCTGCAACCAGCTTACCATATTACACTAAGTGGTAGACCATATTGTATACGATAAATCAAAAATATGATTAAAAGACAGCCTCTGTTAATAAAGCACTCCTCTGCCGGAGCAGCCATTTATAAATATATGCCTCGTTTTCCCTCTGGTTAATTTGATAATGCCTTCCTATACTAGTCCCTCTGTCCTGTTCTCGGCCGGTCACAGATATAGGCATAGCCAATACCAGGTGATATTATTATTAACTTGGAATTTGTTGAGCATATCTTCATTCCTCAAGTGCTTGTTAAATACAGTCAAACCAAGATATTATGTCATGCTTATTCTATTATGTCGAGATTATTCTATTCTACCGCAAATCACCAAGTTTATCGTTTGATTTTGAGGATGTTATTTTAAAATCAACAGTTATATCACAGAACGTGCATTTGTTTGAGGTAAATTAAAATACCATAAGATTCTTCAATTTATTTTAGCCATCACCACAAGTTTTCTTAAACTTGGGGAATTGCATGCACTTTTTATTTTTCAAAAAACTGTGCTTTAACTGTTGAACTAAATTTGTCACGATATATATTTTGAAAAACGTGATTTCGAATTTGTTTTTTCTTCTTCTCTCTGGACGTGAGGATTGAGAAATGATTTTATCTACCAGTTTACAGTTTACATGGTTTATTCCTAATCCTCGCGCTCTACAATTAAGCGTGGCCAGATCGAATATAACCAATAGAGGACTACCTTACAAGACATTTTCATAACGTACGAAATGCGACGGTTTTCCCGAAATTTCGCCATATTTTCGGACCGCCAAAATTTCGGTCGTCGTAATAGAATCCGTCGCATTATTTTTTAGCTTATTCCAATAATTGTGGCTTCATCGATTCATTTTGTTCTTGAAAAGTTAGTGATATGATGGTGGGACAAATAAACACAATATTCCATGATGAATTTAATGTCAAGTAATACGTTTTAAATTTACAATAAATTACATTTATGTGCTAACATAAACGTCTTATAAGAGACTAAGTCAAGATAAACAATTTAATATCAAACTCAATAAGTGAAACTGAAAGAGTCGAGCCGGACCCCTTAGAGGAAGATGAAGAAATCGATTTATAAGTTTCATTTTGTTTAAACATGATTTTACCGATTTTTAGAAAATTTTGAATTTCCTTTGTGTCGGAAAACAAAATGATGAAAAATACCCTTATTTTCTGTGACGTCCGAAATGTGACGGTTTTTGTTCAATTTCGCCATATTTTCGGACCGCCAAAATTTCGGTCGTCGCAAATTGGTCCGCCACAAAAATGTCTTGTAAGGTAAAGCTTATTGATTAGTGAGCCATTGTGTGAATACCAAAAGAATGAACAAAAGAAAGTTCCAATTCCCTGAATTGCGATACTTCAAGTGTTACTGGTTACGGCTTCACCTACTTATTGAAAAACTCATCGCCTGATTCTATGAACTGTACTTCACATTAACTACCACTAGTTTCCTGATTACTGTAATCGTATTTGGTACCCCTCGTGCCATCTAGACCAGCTCTTTGATAGGTTAAAACGTGGCACGTGACATTTAGCTCTGCATTCCAATTGGTTATAAAAGCGTGGTCAATGGTCATGTGACTTTAAAATTAAAAGGTCGTAATCATCCCACCAGCAATTTACCCCAGATTATAATTATATACGGTTCCTTGTCCTTGTGTTACAATCCGGTCCTATTACTATTTCTAATATAAATTAGCAGTGCGTTACTAAGCTGCTTAACCTGTTGCTAGGTAACGGTACCCTGGTGTACCTTGGCAGGTGGCACGTACTGCTACCGTCCTAACGTCACATGACATCACTATTTACTACTGCCCCTTGTAAATTAATAATATACACATCACTAATTAGTTTGGTCATCATACATTTATCTACACGTCTCCCCGGCTTTTACTTTTAGTTTCTGTTTGTTGAGATGCTTTCCTAGCTTTTTTCCTTCTTTCTCATTTGTAGCTTTTTGTTAACATATTACATAATATGTATTCATACTTTCCAATTTCTCTGCCAATCTAGCTAGTTATTTTAATTTAAAATACCGTATATAGATTATATTTCAAACAAAGAGATACACTCAAATTGGCGGGCAAACGATCCGTTTCAATTTCATGATATTATGTAGAAAACAATACCAATTCTCAGGGCAATATAATATTATTATAGAATATAATATATATATTGTATATGTGTGTCTCAACGTAGCTAACTAAAATAAAGACATAGAGAACCACTAAAGTAAAGGAAGAAAGAGGGAGGAGGGGTAATCTCAAGATATCTGTGTGATGAAGGAGTTAGATGTTAACACTTCTCTAAAGAATGAGATAGAGGAGGAAAAGCTACAAAGGGAACTCTTCAAACTCAGTCGATCTGGTATGTGCTGAATGCTGATAGTAGAAATACGAATGAACAGTAGCAGGCTGAGATTATAGAATATAGATTCGACCAATCGCCATCACCATTGACCCTGTCAAAGTTTACCACCATGATTGGGCCAACTCGAACTTGTTGTACTTGTAGATTGCATAAACATCGATTATTGATTGCTGAAATTTATGGCTCCAACTCCAGTGAATTTACTGGTGCTATTTATAATTGGTGCCATTCGAACATTTTGACTAAAAGTCAGCCATCAATTTCGGAATTGCCGCATTGACTCAAATTATCACCTCTGTGTTCGAACCCCCTTGTAATTCTGCGATTGTCGGCCCCACGTTTGGAGTCCATACTTGCTAAATACCTCAGCCAACACCTGTTTTTACATTTCACCACCTGTGCCCCCTATCTTTATCAATATTCCATACTACTCTCCTAGGAATTAAGTGTCATGACCAGAGCTACTGCTGAGCTCATACACCTAACAACACATACAGACAAATTAAATATAAACTAATTTCCTCCTCCTCCTCTTAAATCAAATCGGTTTTATAAAATCCTCGTCCCTTTTAATCCATCCAGGGAGCATTTATGTAAGTACCTCTAACTTTTCCGCAATGATATGTTGAAATATAGGCTGTTGTTATGGTAACGTCGAGAGCCGCTCAACTACCCTATCATTCGGCTCTGACAGGCCGCGTGTATTTTGTCCCAACGTCGCGGCTGATAAGTTCTTTTGGCTTTCGTTAGAGTTCAATATTAATACAGATAAGACATAAAGTTGCTGCTTTAACTTCTCTGTCGAATACCCGGCTAAGTGAACCAGTTTACCAGGTGTGATGTGGGGTGTTACTACAATTTAATGTGGCTTCATAATTTAAACCGGTTGTTAGAGGTATCAAGTGTCTTTTCTCTTTTGTTACCCATAATTCTTCCGGCAATTCAGTGATTTAATATAATTATAACCCCTGTTATCGTTTTTAAAGCGAGATTTTTGGATTCTATGATTTGATTAGAGTAATGCACCGTTTATCTGTTTTGACCTTTTTAATTGTAAAAACTAAACGTTTAACTCATGAAACTGACCTGTGTTTCTTGACTAGTCCCTCTTGACTTATCTGACTTGTCTAGGCAGGAGAGCAACTCATCAGATAGACAAGCTAGAGGAAAGTATAACCCAACATTTCCTGGAGGTAACTTGTAAAACTAGCAAGGTAACGGACGTCCGGAAACAGCGAACATTCCAGGTAATGTAGATGTGGCTTTTATTTATTTGCTGGTATTTTGTAAATTAGAATGAAGAACGGTCTTTTAAGTTTTTACGAAGTTTCTCCTTTAACCTTTTGGAGTATCGTTTCAGTTCTCGCTAGATTTTACTTATGCTGCTTCTTTTATTTAAAAATTATTACAAATCCTCTTTTTACCTTTTTATCTATAGCGAGTTTTTGTAATTTCTCGATACAGAATACAAATAGCGCAATATTATAACAAACCTGTGATCTGAGTGTGTTACAATTTAAAAACCCTTTGATTTACATTTTCAGTTAATGAACCTGGGGCAGAGTCAGCGTCCTTCAACTACCGACCTCAGATCAGCATCAAAAGGGAACTTCCGGCCAAATTCAGCAGTTCACTACATCCCAGTAAGCACGGCTAGATCTTTGAGAAACTGTTTGGTCACGTTTGTATCAATAATCCATTGTTTTCAATGCTTTTGGCACTTAGATCTCGTTTTAAATTATGTCAATTTTAAATATTTAAGTATTAAGTACGTTTTAAAAATTTTAAATGCTAACTTATATGTGAAGGCTGAGGTTGCACTGTTCCGAGTATTGTCTGCATAACTTAGCAATTAAAACGTGTTCTTTCTTCTTCATATTTTTGAAATTTTCTATTTAAACATATCTACAGTAGACTATCCTTTTGCTTTTATGCATTATGCAAGCTAGTAAATACTTGTGATATTGACAACAGTTTGCTCAGAGTACAGAGATAGATCCTGAAGAAAAAGAAGCAGTTCACACCGATCAGTTTGGACGGCCTGATATCGAACGGATACACAGAGAGTATGTTTAACCTGTTTAACTTTGACAATTTTGATATTTATTGTACTTCACAATTTTTAGTTCAATTCCTTCTTCAAATGTTTGCCAGTCAAGTCCTGATTGAACGAATTTGCTGAATAGGAGGGGTTACTGAGTAACCTATCTCTCACAGAAGAGCGGACAAGTTCTACCACCACAAAATAAACAAACTGATGACTATGATGAACGACAGGACGAGCAAGAGAAGAGCAAAATCAGCCCCATCCTCCCGAGTTCCACCAACTCAACAATACACTATTAACAACCTGCCTGAAACCATACCAGAGAACAGACCGGTAACTGGGTCATTACTTTAGGAATACTTCATGTTGCCAGCCACAAACACGATCAGTCATTTGTTTGGTCAGGAACTATAGCGAACAGTCAGCTTCTGGTAAGATAGTATCTGTGATACTATCTTAATTAACTGATAACTACTAAAAAATGATTGATAACACCTCTCCCCTTCTTATAAGATGACGCGAGGAGACGCTGAATACCAGCTGAAGAAGATGAGAGTGACACTACAACAGAAACAACCAGCCATGTTGTACGGGGAAGTTAAGGACAGTACGGACACTAAGAAGGAGGCAAATCACAGGGCTTCATCTGGTGTAAAGAGGGACATGTCCTGGAGCTCTCTAACTAGGAACATGTCTCGAAGCTCACTTAACAACCAGGTAATAATAGGCATGTGAGTGGGAATATTTCCGCTATCCTTTTTGTTTTGCTTTCAGAAAATACCTGGAAGGATATCATTTATTTTATTTTTAGTTAAACTTTAAAGTTCATATACTTTACCAATACCCATAACAGGGAGGCCGCAAAAGTAGTGCTTCAAGTCAAGGAAGAAATTCGAGCGCCAATAGGGCGACCTCTTCAAGCCAAGAGAGGCGCACAAGTGCAACCAGAGAGAGGACCTCAGGAACTCCTCAGGGAATCTTCACCAGCCAGAACAGGGTCACTTCTGCTCAGAGTAACCAGAACAGGGTCACTTCTGCTCAGAGTAGACGAGCAGTATCTGCTGCTCTTCCGAGGCGGACTAGCTTCAAACCTCCGGTAAGTCTAATAACAAAGTAACAAGATGGATGGAGTGTTGTAGATGATAACATCATGATACCACTCCTTTTTACCTCAAGTCTGAAGTCTCGTATCAAGCCCCACTGAAAAACACTCCAATATTTTCAGGCAGATGATACGGACTCTGACTCTGACTCTGACTCGGACTCCTCCGCCTTTCTCCCCGCAAGAAGGCAGCCAACTCCAGGCCCTGCCTCTGCTCTCTCTTCAGATCAATCTTATTTCAATGCGCAGGGTCTTAAATTACGAGAATATCAGGAGAAGAAATACCCCTCCCGTTTTTTGGATCCTAACCCTGATTTTCGATCTAGACAGAAACCCTTCCCGATCTTGTTCGATCCAAAACTCGAGAAAGCGTACTCCACATTCTGTCGAAGAGCAGGTATACTGTTTTGTCTTTTTCTTGCTTTTTTCAGACATTTTATTTATTTATTTATTTTAAAACAGGTTATAATTTATAAAGGCACTATATTTCCCTTCGTCACTTTACTCAATCTACACTGCCATTACCCGCACTGTTTTACCTGGGGACCTCAGGCTATCATGTTCATAAACATAGAATAGAGATTCGGCGGAATGACAGGCTGAGCGCGGCCCAGTAAGTACTGTTGAGTGCTTTAAGGGGGCCGGGGGGGGTCTTAAGGCACTGAACATCTATAATCTGTTGCTGTTGTTAATGTTTAATTGTTAGTTATTCAAATGTTTGTCCCCGCACAGCGAGAGTAAAAACGATCTCACAAACACAACAAGAGCTGGAAGATATCGTGATCCAGTCCAAGGAGAAAGAAGAACAGCTAGAGATCTGGGAGCCTGGGTATGTTCACAAACAGGCATGGACTAAAGATGGGGCTACGCCTAGAGTGGCAGCTGCTACAGAAAACTCAAAACAGTGGGATACCGGTCCAAAATTTTGAAGTCTGCATATAATAGAATATTTATATATTTCAGTTTGATTAATGATGCATAGGGAATGGCACTTGGCAGTTTGGTTTGATGGAACCTATTTGATACTTGAAGTTATTTTTAATTTGATGAAAAATGTTCGATACTGTTGTTTTAATTGAAATTAAGTTTGAAGTCTGATGTGAATGTAATTCATTTTGTTTTGATTACTCTTATAAATATTATTATAAAGATAGAATAATTTTAATCTTTTGTTAATGTTTATTCCCTATAAATCTGAAAGTGGATTACTACTGCACGATCGAGCATAGCACTCTGTACTCTGTAATAGTCTGTAGATCACCGATTTCAATTTCTGTATCTCTTGCTAGAGAAATTAAGTATGTAAATTGTAGGAGGCGTTCTGTTCGAGGCCGACTTGCTGGGGGGGGGGGGGGGGGGTGGGGGCGCAAAGGCAATATTAATAATTATATACGACTTATGAATAAAATAAAACAAATGTGAATATGAAATATTCACATCTTACTGCTCACTGTCGACGGTGCAGTAAGATGGTTTAATAATAAACGGAAGTGTGATATTTCCGTGTGCTTCAAATTTAATACTGATCGGGTTCAATTGGTTGGCAAGTTACAATATAGTCAGTCAATTAATGATATCTACCTGCAAATCTTCCGATACTCTTAAAACTTAATGCACAGACCTTCCTAAGGCTAAAGGTACAGGGTGGGCCAAAAGTCAGTACCCAAACGTTGGCCTTAATAGCTCCGCCGTGTTTTATATTTGAGAGCTGTTGCTTTGCAGATGGCATACTGTACTTACTGGTTCGAGGATTCCGTCGTCAAAATTTGAAAATTCGAATATTTTAGACCACGCCCATTCAATATTAAAACACCTATATTGTTTTCTCTGAACATGCTGAACGCCTAATTTTTTCAGAGACGGTAGATTATCAAATGTTGCATATGATCTGAAAACATGAGGCAAAACGGATTAGAAATGACGAAGTTATCAAGCATTTTATGTATCTCGTTAACAATATTGACTGGGTGATTATGTGACACCGTGACACGACACCTTAATTGGGCACCCTTAACAATTCCCGTAATGTTTAACGGGGTAGTTAACGGGGGCACCTTATCGCGTGATTAGGTAAACCAATCACCTGATCACACGTAATGAATAAACTCGTTATGCTTCATATCTCGGTCATCTGAGAAGCTACAGTTCTAATTCTTTCAGGACAAACGTAATTCGAATGGCCAAACACAATTCAATAACATTTAGCTTAATCCGACTATCCAAACTATCAAATAAATGTGAAAATGAACCTCCATTTGAAAAAAATGAACGCGAATATTTTTCGAGTTGACAAATTCCTCGAACCAGTGGTGGTACTAAGTCATACCAGAAAGAAGTATTTAAATTGGGCACTCAGTGACTGAGCTATAAAGGCCAACGTATGGGTACTGACTTTTGGCCCACCCTGTATGAATAAACGATTTTCGGTTGGACACATAACTGACCCTTAATTTCTGAAGGTCGTAGAGACAATTCAAAATGGCCATTCTGCAAAATCTGCACCCATTTTAAAATAACTCTAGGACCTTAATAGCCCAATTTACCAAATACCTATGGCTATATTTATGCATGATTTCTGGAACCGAAAATCAGTGTTTCGCCAATAACTGAAAAAGTGAGCACTTTAAGGCATATATGATATATTTCTTCGTAAATCGTATATAAATATGCCAATTGCGGTTCTTTTGCACTCTATCCGAAGACTCTATCACGATCCTATTAAAAGTTAGTAGAACTAGAATGGGCTTACTCCCCAGTTCCATAGCGGATATTATGCCAAATTATTAGACGGAGGTCCATTTCTACGGTGATGATTCTCCGGCTCCGTCTACTGTATTAGACGGAGATGAAGCTCTCCGGGAATTTCTCGGAGATTGTAGCAGTTTGTGGCAGTTTCTTTGCACTTTGCTCCATCTGTGAGAATCAACAAAATTACCGTAGATGGTCTCCGGATAAGGTTTTGGAACTGCAAACCGGAGAAATATCCGAAGAAATATTAGTTGACGATCTCCGTCTAATAATTTGGCATAATATCCGCTATGGAACTGGGGGGTAAGCGCCACGACCAAAATGGTATTTGGTGAATTTATCGAAAAGGATTTTAACTTTAAGCCATATGTTGATCAATAACTTCTATATAAGTACCGTCACAAAAGTGACTTTAATATAAACATGCATATGTGTCATGTCTTCGTTTAAGCCTATTTTGTAGTCTCTACGACCTTCAGAAGCAAAGGGTCAGTTACGTCATTGGGTCAATATTGAATATGGGCGTAGCGCTCGATCCTGGGTCTTCCCCACGGTAAAAAATTGTCTCCAATCGAAAATCATTTATTGATACCTTTGGGAAGTAAAGGTCTGTGCAATGTTCATGTTTCAAGAGTATCTCAATCTGAAGATTTGCAGATAGATGTGACATCAACTTATTAGTCCAGTCATTTATGGACATTTATTGACATCTAAGATGTCCGGGTGTGTCCGAATTTTTGTAAACCACCCCCTCCCCCGGACGTCCGGATTTCCAGCTACTTTAAGAGTACAAATAAAACCAACAAAAATTCATTGTTAATAAAATGTGTAGTTACTTAAAATAGACAATAATATATTTAGTGTCGAATAAGTTTAGCACAGTTACATTTAAGTACATTTTAAGTACTCGTTCAAAATACAAGAATCTAAACTTACAGAGTAATTAGTGTCAAAGAGTTGAAATAAATAGGACTTTTTCGTTAATTCTGCCAAATTTCCGGATTTACAGGAAACTGTGTAATTTCGGACTAACACCATCAGAATTGAGAATAGAAGGAGACATTTTGGATAGTATAAAGTGCACCATCGATTGTAGTTTATTTGCACAGTTGCTGATGATAACAATTAATGATAGAGTACCTAATTTCATTCACTGTTGATTCTTTCATAACCTTGAATTGTCATTCTCCCGAATACAGAGTCCCGTAATCCTTTGTCGTTGAAGAAAATAGCACATGCGACAAATACAGCTTGTATAGTGGGCTCCATGTTGCAACAAATAAAGATAATGTAATGATCCGCCGGGGAGTAGTGGAACTTGTCATCAGTATAAAAGTAAAGCAGGACGAGGTAGGTGACTGGTAGCCAGGAACCACACAACATTCCACACCATCATGATATGGACCAATCTGAACTCTCTCCTTATCTTATCTCTGGTGTTCACATCTAGTTGCATCTCCAGAAGTCTAAACTTTACTCTGGTTACCACGTAGACACAGGGTGCTACAGCTGTGATGATCAGGAGTGGAACCTCGAACAGTAGTTTGTAGATATGCCAAATTTTATCGGGAATATGGATGCCATCTTCTGCTAGATAAGTCAGGAGTAGAACCAGTGCAGTGGTGAAAGCAGCCAAGTAGAGCGAGCTAATAGCAATGACGACAGGCTTTCAAAGCTTTCTCGAATTGTTTAGAATAATCCAGCCAGGGTCGTGTATGTTCTTGTACTGGACCATCACGATAACCGCTACAAGAGTCGTGATCACGGCCCCGTCAATGTAGCATGCAATGTTCAGCACCTCCAGGAGTTCTTGGGGCCACTTTGAGGGATCAGACGGGTCGGGGGAGTAGTTAGGATCCAGCAGTCTGCAAGTAGTTGGCACAGCTCTTATTATCATGTAAACCAAGTAAGCTATCGCCAGCCGGAAATAGAACCTGTGCGACCAGGAGGTCCGATTTGAGGTCTCCCTCTTCTTGTAGTAGTAGATCAGATAAGTGTTGACAAGAACACCCACTACCGCTGCAACGAGGAATATTCCTCCACATGTGTAGTTCATTATAACATCAGTCGCTGTTTCATTGTGGATGCGTGTTCCGTTCACTAGTGTATAGTTTCCAAATATTCCCATTCTGTTTTTTGGGAATACGATCAGATTAGTATAATTTAAAAAACGAGGAAAGTACCGGGAGCACATGTTATAAATACTACCTTACATATTTACGGTACGCTTGCTTATATGATTCCACCGAGGTAGAGTACAGCCGCAAAATAAAATCTTACAACGTTAAATGATGTTAGTTAAATGATGAGTGCACTAAAGAGGAAATGAACGTCACAGCAAAAAGCATTAATAAAGCAATTCACAAAACGTGGTACAACGGGAGTTTACTTGTTTTTATCTCACAAGTTGCTGTAAAATGACGCCCGAACACTTACCCCTAGCACTTTATAAGAATGGCCTGACATGACTGTATTGAATTTCAGGGATTATTTAAGTGTTTCATGACAGCGTGGTACTGGTAGGTAGGTTCCAATCCCAAAAGTAAAACCTGGTTCTTTTGCTTTCCCGCCATTCTTATCTATCATCAGACCTTTATTCAGGTATCATGCTCTGTGTGTTATCTATAATGAAGGACAGTATGTTGTGAAGTACATATTCTAGAAGATATTATGTAATTTCTTCATATTACGGGAATATGGAGTCTGAAAAGTTAGACATAATATAACATTATGTCTAACTTTTATGTCTTAAGCTTAGCTGTATCTTAGCTAAAATGTGCAATCAACAAGCACTATGTTCGCGGCTACAACTGCGTGCTCTTTGCTTGCCATATTTTGAAATGTTTTTCTCGCTAAAGTGCGGCTGCCTTCTTTTTTAGGGATTCTGTCATGTTTAGGCTTTATAATTCTTACGAATAGGTTAGATCGGCTTCTACTTCATACTTGGGAGACGGGAGTACACTCTGTTGACGTGATTGTCAGTTTCTACTTTCTCATATTTAGGGACTGAATTCTGAAAACTACCACAAGCAATGTGTACGTGAAAGATAATGTATTCGTGCTTGCATTGTATGCTTATCGTTGTGTGTGTGAAACATACAAGTTCGTTTGTACACAGATCGGTCGAATGGGATAGTTGTTATTATACAGTTGTTATAGTTGCTATAGTTGTTATATGAGCAGTGGGCAAATATACAGCGATTAAGGATGCAGGCACGATCGACACTTATACTAAACTGAAAACATAAGCATTTTTCAGCACTTAAAGACAAATCATTCAGATTAACTTTATCTTTGAGGGTTGATTCGATCACTCGCTGTATTTCTAGCATCAAGTTTCGAATCTCATGGTTAATACCATTTAATATCTTATCTGACAAGTGAAAGCGAAGAATACTATTGTTTTAACAATAGGTGACTAGATATCAAACTCCACATAGTAGTAGTATTGGATATTATATTTCCCTTTTGAATAAAAATGCAGTAAACACCACGAGCCCATTATAGGAACATCAAATGTCAGTGTTCCAAAGAGAACTGCGACAGTTGGCCAGGACCTGCTGTCAGTTAACTGACGGTCAGTTGGCTGTTTCTTGGTACGACGACGACCTCCTGAGGTCAGTTTTTTTACTTCAATTCATTTCCTAACTCCGATTTTGTCCAGTTTTGTATTAAACATTTCGCGAAGTGAGATTACCATGTGTCAATATTTTGATCACATGGTCATAAAATAGTACAGACATTTGGCGAATGTCGGATTTGCACAAACTACATATATATGAAGTAAGGGTGATAGTTGACACTGGTATCTCCCCAGGTTTAAGATAAAAGTGAACCCTAAGTCGGGTTTGTACCAGGGGTCTCTCTACGAGTTTACGATAAGAGCCTCCGATAACTACCCTCGCTCCCCACCGATAGTAATATCTTGTTCTTACATCCTACACCCCAATATCAACGAGTATGGCGAGGTCTATTTGGATTGTCTGCAAGTGTGGAGACCTCACACTTTCGACCTCAGCACTTTAGTTGAATCTCTACTCAAACTCTTCCACCAGCCTAATTTCAACGTGATTACAAACGAAGAAGTAAAAGACTGGACAGATGTAGAATTTATCAGGAAAGTAACGGTTTGGAAGCGATCACAAGCTGCACCCCCGGCCCCGGACCAGCTGCGGTACAGCGAGTCTCTGGGTTTCGGGAGCTGTGTCAGCCTGGTGTCAGACAGTGGTCACAGAGAGAGTAACTGTGACTGTAACAATGAGTATATCCTCGTCACTAACTCTCGCAGACCACGTCCCACAAGTGCCAGGGCTGCTCGAGCGTACCGTCAGGCCCAGGTAGCCTGGCAGCGGGACACACACTTCCACTCTACCAGCATGATTGATCTGTCAGACGTGCACGACTCTATAAGAGACATTGAGCCGGACTATGAGATATGCAGCGTGTCGTCTGATGAGGACAACAGCTCAAGGAGAGAGACTGTGACAGACACTGGACCTCAGTTTGAGATACCTTACTCTCGACTTACCGAGTCTCGACAGAGTCGCCAGATTGGTACCAGCTCTCGTTCTAGGTCATCGTCAAGACTTCAGTCTAGAGAAAATACTTGGAACAGTCATTCTGCTCACAACTTCTTGACGGACACTCCCTCCATTAATAGAAATAGAAACAGTGCTGATCAGAAACCAGACTTCAGGAAAGATCTCAACACATTTTTATAAAATCTTCTGGTCATGTTTAACAATGTTTTTGAACATGTCTGATTTTCCACTACAATATGCTTTGTCTTATTGTCTTATTACGCAAAAACCATCGTTTTAATCGAACCTCGCTAAACGAATGTTCCTTATATGGATGGATGACGGATAAAACTTCCGTCGAGCGAAACGAGTTTCTGTTCACTGTTGACATTTTACTTGCGGGCTATTGTATTTATAGTTTCTATAGTTTCTTATAGAATTAATGTCTACTCATTGCATTGACGTATTGAATTAAACATTTTCTGCAAGATGTCTGCTTGATTTTGATGTGTTTTGTTTTACTTCTAACAAGCCGACTAGCGTGCAAATATTATAAATCACTCAACTATTATCTCAGCAGTACACAGCTGCATCAATATTCAAGCGTGTCTTTCTGCGAGGGCTGTTTTAAGTACATCCCTGATCCCGATCGTAGATATACATTTTCCTTCTTTAGGAACAAATACAGCTCACAAATTGATGATCTGCAAACCATCTACAATCTACATATTCAACCATAACGCAATTCAACAAGTTTTATCAATCATGCATGATGCAATGGGAATCGATTATCGAATAAGGATAGAATATTAATAATATAAGAATGAATGTATTTTGATGAATGTTGTTGACGAAGTGAGAATGAATGCGATAAATTTCCGCGCGCGGCCGACCGGCTGGGCATTGCTATCAATCCAGGTAATGTTTTTGATACATTTTTACTTGAAAATGTTTTCGCGCGCGCAGTAAAATAGGTTTTACATAAAATATGTCATTATCTGTGACATATATGTTTTGGGGCATTTATTGCAAATTATATCCTTCGGTTTAATTACCTGGATGGCGTGCCTTTAATCCAGATAGACCTGCTATTGGTACGTACGTTTTGGTACGTTTTGGTGAGTTTGGCAGGGCGTGCTCAGGACAACTGCATCGAGTGCGTCCTCCTCCAGCTCAGCATTGAGTTATCGTTTGTCGGAGTGTAGCCCGGAACCGGTGGTGTGTCTGTGTACTGTTCCATAAATCTGCCTAGACCAACTTTGAAACTGTCTAGCAATGTGATACTCCGGAGCTCCGATGGGAGCACGTTGAAGAGCTGAGCTGCTCTAACTCTAAAGCTGTTGTCGTAATCTGTTCTTACCGACAACTGTGCGTTTTTGTTCATGGCTGGGATCTCTGCCTTAATACCATGCCTTTGATGAGACTTGAACTCGAAGCCCGTATCGTTCGGAGCATGTTCATTAAGAATTTTCCATACATGAATAATAGAATAACGCTCTCTCCGCCTCTGAAGGGACATCAACTTAAGCTTCTTCAGCCTGTCCCAGTACTGGAGATCACGGCAGCCAGATATCTTTCTAGTAAAGGATCTCTGTACAGTCTCCAGCTTTTGTATCTCTGTGACTTTTGTAGGGTTTCAGACTGGACAGCAGTACTCTAGCTTGGAGCGAACCATGCTTTTGTATAAAGTCAGCATGACTTTTTGTGACCGGTCTCTAAAGGCACTCAATGTCCAAGCCGCCATTTTTCTAGCTCCTTGAACTGTTTTCTCAATGTGAGGACCCCATGACCTAGTGCTGCTAACATACACTCCAAGGTCTCTGACAGTTTCCTGTGGAGATATTGCGTGTCCTTTTGGTGTAGTATACTCAACAGTCTCTGGGTAGAACGGGAGCTCTCTTAGAGCTTTTGATCCATTCAGGGGGTAGTTTACAACCTCAAACTTCTGTTCGTGTAGCTCCATGTTGTTAACACGAGAACCTGATTTTAAACAGAACAGGTCCAATGAACACGAGAAGAAAAAAACTTGCAGAAGAAAACAGAAAATATCAATGGACAATGTTTGTTATATTACATTAAAAACTAGAGATATTACGTTAATCACTTATTTAGTCAAATTGTCAATAAAATGTTTCCCGGAAACTTTCAATCCGGTCGGCTTTCATTTGTGATACATCCATATTTCCCCTCTTATTGAAAAGAGCTAGGGATGGCTGAAAACAGCAGAAACATATGTAGGTAAAGTCGGTGTATGTTCTCAGCCACACTTGGAAAGAAATATTTGCGTTCATGAAAATTGGTCTTTCTGCTTCATATCCAACTCACATTTGCCATTGCCATCAGTTTTGAGCAACGTAAGGTATTTGTCACTAAAGTTGTCGTGACATTTGCAAATACAATGACAGTTTCTGACTGCACTGCTCAAGGTTGAGTCTAATTCACAAGGACTTCGCTCAGTACAGCCAGCTGTGACCTTCTCTTGAGAACATTGTTCATCACTATTGTGACGGGAACCATTAGAAGAAGGTCGTCGGATGGTTTTAGCAGGAACTTTGAGAGTATTAGGGGAAGGCTTAGCAACATGAGCCTGGGAACAGTTGTGTGGGTAGTGTGATGCTGTGGGGATTTTTAACAATTGATCAGGTCCTCCTTTTCTGATTCCCGTAGGAGTAGTTTGTTCTCTCTCGGGGGGACCATCTAGTAGCACCAGTTTCTCCGTTTGTCTGGATTCGTGTTCATACGCTCTGTTAAACTTAGATATCACCACTGTCATTGGCAATGTCAGTACCACCATTGATATTATCACCAGGATAGAGCCAAAAAACTGACGGGAGAGGTTTAGAATTAGAAAAAGTTTGAACATCTCGATCTACCCGAGTGAAATCAAGAAGCAGATTTTCAATCTAAAGATCGAACAATGAATTATAAATCCATACCATGTTCTCAGCAATATGTTTAAGTCATATCATGGTAAGTCATACAAGATAAATTAATCTTTATCATTACTTCAAATCAGCTAAATGACTGGTACGATTATTGTTGCCACAAGCAAATATTAAGCAATGCTCTTTTCATACTCAAGAGCCCGTCCAGAGAATAGGTTTCCCCATCTTTTTAATTCAAGAAGGAATTTAAAAGTTGAAAACTCACTCGTCCAGTTAAGGTCTCCGGGCAAACATCCCCGTATCCAACCGTGGTTATAGTTACCATACTCCACCATAATCCCTGCAATAACCGTATCAGGGTGTCATAATAATTGGTGTGTTTTAAATATTATGTGTATTTTTGTGTGTTTTCGGTCAAATCAAACGTTTTTAACTTTATGTAGAAGTAAAAGATTATAAAATAAATGTTTTTAATCGAAACTTTTTTGTAGTTATAATAATCCTTGTCAGACAGTGTTAACCTGCATTATAGAGTAGACGGGTGGGTGTTCCCTTATTTTAGATTGTGGGTCGTATTCTGCAAAATATATCAGCGAGCCGAAGAGAATGAGAAGAATTCCCGTTAGCATGGCGATGAGGATTATTTCCTGCCAAGCGTTGCAGACAAATGCTATGATGAGAAAGATATCTGCAAAGTACCTGTAAATATTTGGTATGCTATCAGAAAGGCTGTCAGAAATGCTGTCGGACCACAGCCGCTAGAAAAGTGCACCTTTTCCAAATTCCATGGCTGGTCATATGTTCATAGCAAATACAGATATAAGTTACTTGTAACTGATCCCATATCTCGAATTCAAAAGTTTATCATTTTCAACTCACTTGAATAGTTTGATGACTCTGAATATCCTGAGAACTCTCAATATCTTCCCGAAGTTAAGGATCATGTATTGGGAGAGGCAGAGCTGTGCGTAGAAAGGGAGGAGGGAAAGGAGGTCTATAATGTTCTGGGAACTGGACAGGAACTTTCTAAAGGAAGGCCAGGTGCAGCCCCTCATAATGAAGTCTATAGTGAAGAAGACAGCCACAACCATTTCCACCCACTGCAGCATGAGGAACCAGCTGTGTCCCGGGTTTTGAAATGCTTCCTGGTAGCCTGGCTCCGTTTCCAGTATGAAGCAGATAATTGATATCATGATGAAAGCTATGTCCATAGCTGCCCAAGCTGCAGCATAGTTTGAGCTGCTAGGATCGGCAAGAAAGAGATGTATACGAGACTTGAGTGTTTTTCTCATCGTCACCACCTTTTCCACTTTAGCAATATTCTCCACTTCAACCGGTTGCAGTCCGAAATACTCCAGCTCTCTCTCGACCAATGCTTTGTCAAGCTCGCCGGGGAAAGATAGCTTTCCAGTTTGGTAAAATGTCGCTATGTACTCGAACACATGACGGTTCCTACGATTGAAGTAGATATTATGAATACGGGGATATGTAGCAAAAATAAAACGGGCTGAGTTGTAAAATTACAAGGAGAACTGTGACAAAACTCTGTGGGAAATTGAAAAATCTACTATTTAGATTGATATTGATTTTGATATAGTAATTATAATTGTTACTCCTGTCTAATCCTGTTTAACAAAATGAAAGATAACCTGTCAAAAAAATAAGAGTTGAGAGCGTGCTCGAAGTGTTGTTCGAGTTTTTCAGGTTGAGCCAGGAGAGAGTCAGGATGGAGGGCTAGGTCAGATGTGTGGATGTAGAACACTCCCCCGCTCACATTCACACAAAGTAAAGGAGAGTTCTTTGGGGCTCGGGCGTGGCCTGACCTGTAACCATGGAAACAAGGTTAGTTGCAGACACTGGCAGGTAACCATGGAAACAAGGTTAGTTGCAGACAGTGGCAGGTAACCATGGAAACAAGGTTAGTTGCAGACACTGGCGGGTAACCATGGAAACAAGGTTAGTTGCAGACACTGGCAGGTAACCATGGAAACAAGGTTAGTTGCAGACACTGGCAGGTAACCATGGAAACAAGGTTAGTTGCAGACAGTGGCAGGTAACCATGGAAACAAGGTTAGTTGCAGACACTAGGCATCATTCGAGTGCTACAAAATATAGCTAGGGTGCATAAATACTCATTAAACAACAAATACCCATGGTAACAACTGAACAACTCACAAGTTGGAATCCGTTGCAGCATTCGACTGCGTTACACTCCTTGCCCCAACATTCATAGCTTACTAAAGTACAGTTGCAATAAAAAACAACTTGCTCGTAACTGGAGAGGGTTATAGAAACACAGTAAATATAATTAATACAACTGATAAAACTTAAGTAACTATGTGCGAGTCAGCAGTGAATTGTGTGACACAATACAAACGGCGTACTATTTTTGATCAGAAACTTTAGGAAAGTGTATCAAAGACACACATTTTGAAATTTCGATAATTCAATAATAAAGCAATAACGGGTTACGGACTACATCGTGCATAGCATCAACAAAATTAGATTGGCTGGGTAACAATAATGACAGAAGATTGTGGCTTCCTACTCTCAATAGCAGTAAGACGATTTAGTGTGGGGTTATGAGCTCAATGGAAATTCTTAGCTAGCTAAAGTGCTAAATGTGAGATAGTGATTGTACTGTCGTCAAAGCCATACACCAATAGGAGTAATAGTTAGCATTAAAAGACATCTTATGAATAATAAGCACGTTATTGTTACAACACACGTGACGTACAGACACTCCCTTACGCACACTGCTAGAATGGGTTGTACAATGTAAATACAGTGTATACTTGTATAGAGACTAGTTACCCCCTCCCTTTCTGGGAGGGGGTAACGTACACTGCTAGAATGGGTTGTGCAATGTAAATACAGTGTATAGAGACTAGTTACCCCCTCCCTTTCTGGTAACACGTATCTTAATATCCGATATTATGGTCGTGAAATCAAAGTTGACGACTATTTAAGGACAATTTTTCGTCAAAGTATTTTCGTCAGAATATCATTATTTTCTAAAATAACAAACTAGACTCTCTAAGATTTTCACCGCTTCGTTCATTTTTATAGCTTTATTCTTTTTATCTTTTTACTACACTTACTAACACGTGCATTACAAAGGAGTAAAAGTTTGCGGAGGCATTCTAGAACGGTATATATTTTATCACTTCATGCACGGGTGCCATTCTGCTTATTTGGTTCACAGGTTTTTCCTAGACTTTGTGTTCGGACTTAAGCTTTCTGTACCAGTATTTCGTTATCTTAGGATTTATTCCGCTTTTATTTTATTCCCATTCTCGACTCCTCGCTAGCAGTCCGGTTAATTTAGTACCTCTAAGTACCCTCTCATTTAATCATTAGGACTTATTAATGAACATCTCACTTCTAAAAAATTAAGAAATCATATTTACAATATAATATTATGTTGCTTTTTTTAAACGTGAGCTAGTATATTGAGTCTAAAAATATGAAATACATATCTATCTCAGTACCTAGATTACGCAATCGTGTTTATTTGAAGAACAGGAAAAAGTTCACCCCTCAGGGCTGGTAACTAGTACGTTAGGGACCCAGTATCACGGTAACAAATCTTCATGATAGCGGCTGATACTGATAACACTTATTACATATTATTAAGGAATTAGCTTCACAGTGATTGTAACGGACGAGATACTTTTTCTCTCTTCAGCTGGCTCACCTAAATAGATATTATGTGATAACAAGTTAGAAACAGATTCCAGATTCCAGAAGTCTATTGTTCAAGGTAGTCCTCATTCCTAAATTAAAGAAAAACAAGTAACAACTGTAATATTATTGTGTATAATCCTTCGGCCTTTCACACTAACACAGTCTTGCTAAATGTTATACTCTGACTCGCTGCATCTTTCTGTTGAATTGTGAGGAAGTTGAAATTAAGGAAAGGATTTGGGATCAGGAAATTGAAATTCCTGGATACAAATTTCATCCCTGCTCTGGATACAATTTTTGATTGAGTCGATGTGCAGTCCATAATATTCATAAATATTCCATTGTTCATTTTACATTCTCTCCCTCTACTCGTAGATTTGCGTGTTTTGATATTTCATCTGAGATCCGTATCTCATTCTTTTAAATCTGATGAAAAATGGATCCAATTTCGAGTTCTTTCGAGAGTGCGTTTATGTTCGTCGCCCCGATAAACATTCCGCTATGTATCCTAACTTCAGCTGTTTGTTTCACAGTCTTGATCTACTACTGGCGAAACCGTGGAACTCTCACAAACACACTATTTCTTTTGATAACAACAGCGGATTTGGTCACGTGTTTGGGTCACCTGATCCTGATGATATGTGTTGTACTGTTGCATTATTATGAAGCTATACCTTCTGTTTCTGCTACGGTATGTGAGGTGATACATACCGTGATGTCCCTTCTCGGATACGCCTCATCAGTTCTCTTGAACATGATACTTGCTGTTTTAAGAACGGTAAAGATATCATTCCCTTTCCATCAGGTAAAAGTTGGAGTGCTGAAGATAGCGATTGCTCTTTTCTTCGGTTTTCTAGTGATGTTGTGTGCTGCTGACGTTTGGAGTGTTGTTGTCTTCTGTTTGACACATTGTCCCGAGTGCTGGATTCATATGTGGGATAATGTAGTGCTTGCTTTCATTGGTCATAATTTGTGTGACTACCTTGATATACCTGCATGCTGGATTACAAATAATAGGTAAGTCCTATTAGATTGCCTAGTTGGGTTACTGTATCTTGCTCCTATTGGGGTGGTTATGGTCTGCCTCCTGGTCCAATTTTCAATCACTCGGATCAGAATGCGTTCACGCAACCCTGATCATCCAGTGGTCACTGATTGGTCACATGTGAATACCACAGTTTTCATCCTCTCTGCTGTTTTCTTGGTCTGTAACTCAGGAATAGCAGTCCTACAGATTTACTTACAATATGATCCAGGAGATTTCATGGTAGATCCCTTTGCCATGCTGGTTTGCAAATTGATGATCAGCACCACATTAAACCTTGTAAACCTTGTAAACCTTGTAAACCTTGTAAACCTTACCTCTGATGAACGCACTTCTGACACCACTGATCATTATATCTAGAAGTCAGGAGTTGAGGGGGAAGGTTATGATGATGATGAGAAGGGCTTTTTCAAGACAACGACAATACTGAAGACTGGAAGTTTAAGACTTGTCTCTTCGTTATGGCGAGTTTTCTCACGTGCTGAAGTGATGTACTAATACTATTTCGTTTTGAACATTTAAATCCTATTAATTTTCGATGAAACCAAATATCGGAATTAAACTAAGTGAGTTACGATGTACCGGGTACCCAACATAGCATTGATATGACTATGAACTTTATTTGTGTGTGTTTGGTTCTAATTTTTTTGGCTCTCCTAGCTTATCTTGATTAATTATTATTAAGAATAACTATGATTACTTTGATATGCCGAGATATGTATGATTAAAGATAAGATTATTTTAAAATTTTCATAAAATTTCTACTATTTGTTTTATTAGTCCACCACACTACTATACAGTACATAAATGTTTCTTCCTGGTAATTGATTAGCTTTGCGTTTCATATAAAACCATTTTAATTTCCTCAATAACTTTACACTTCTCTCACTAATTCTCTAACTCTTACAACTCTATTTCCAAGCTATGCTGAAAATGAGAGAGAGAGAAAGAAAGGAAATATGGAGACCACTGCGTGTACAGATCGAAAAAGGAACCTGCAATGGCCTTGTATTCTCGACCACCGGAGGTATGGGCCCACAGGCTACCATGTTCCTTAAACGAGTAGCAACACTTCTGGCAGCCAAGACCAGCCAGGACAAAAGCCTCATTATGGCAAATCTAAGACGTCGTTTGCGGTTTGAGCTACTTAAGACAGTATTGATTGCAGTGAGAGGACATACTTCTCAACATCAGCGGAAGAGAGTTCCATGCAACCGGTGCATGGCTTGAAAAACGTCTGTCATCAACTTTGGACCTTTTATTCTTTGGTATCTTGAGCATGAGATGGTCATCCGGTCTTTTCGACCTGGTCACAGTGTTTGAGAGTTCTGTATCTACTACATCCAAATCCAGTAATGCTTTGAGGTAACCAGGTGCAGTACCGTGAATTGATTTTTGGGTTAATAGACAAACTTTGAAGAAGATTCGCTGGTCTATAGGGAGTATGTGGGCCTTCTTATAGAAGGGAACCAAGTCCGTGGTCCTGTCTTCTATGTTATAGATGAAACGAACTGCCCCATTAAGGATGGATCTAAGTTTGTTTAATCTGGTCTTGGGTAGATTCATGTACAGAGAATTACAGTAATCTAACTTAGATATAACCAGTTGTTTCACCAACATCAATTTAATGCCTTCATCCAGGTAACGACTAATAGTTCTTAGGTTCATCATTGTCCAGCTGCATTTCCTTTTCACATTATTGATCTGTCTTTCCACATTTAAAGTTTCATCAAATTTAACACCTAGACTCTTCCAGCTGTCTCCTTTGCATTCCGTAGGTAGAATTTCGGTGCTTCCAAATTGCATTCTGACACTGAGTTCACACTTTTTTAGAACATGGCTCTTTCCTAACACCAGTAGTTCTGTCTTTGTTTCGTTCAGTTTCATGAAATTGTTCATCATCCATGCTTTTATCTCTACGAGACATTTGTTTGTTTTGTCTTGGACTTCAGTGAACTGTACCACACGGTTTGGGTAAAATGAGATGTACAGTTGGGAATCATCTGCATAGAGCTGTATATCAAGACCATATTTGGCCGCAATTTTCTGGAGAGCTTTGATGTAGAGGATGAAAAGAATAGGCCCCAAGAGTGATCCCTGGGGAACTCCAAACAAATGCTCTAAGAAAGAAGAAAGAGTATCATCAATCTTAACACAGAAGTGTCTCTTCTCAAGATAGGACTTTATCCATTGCAGTGCACTTCCAGTAATTCCATAGTCTTTCATAAGCTTTTCCAATAAGACTTTGTAGTGTGTATTATGGTCAATGGTATCAAATGCTGCACTTAAGTCGAGAAGTACAACTATAACAACATTGCCAGCTTCAATTTCTTTGTTAAGATCAACACACATTCGTACAAGTAATGTTTCACAGCTGTGATTAGGGCGGTATCCAGATTGGACTTCTGAGTAAAGGCTATTATTATTATATGATTCGTGAGATGGACATTGAGCTGGTTTAGTACAATTCTCTCTCTTCTAAAGTGTAGAAGCCAAATCACAAATACTTTCTCAAACTTTACTTCTAGTTCTTCAATATTTTCAGCAACTGCACAAGCCATTTAGTCTTAGGTAACTTCAATTTAGAAACTTAGCTCATTGTTATGACCCAATTTATCGCCGATAATTATCGTTATCGCCGATAATTTCAAAATTGTTATCGGTTATCGGCGATTAAAATTATTGGACCGATAATTTAAACCTTAGTTAAAGAATAGTAGTAGTAGTTAAGTAGCTTGATGCACTACTAGACTGGCAACTAGCTGGGCCGCGCATCAAATAATGTTTCTCGCCGATCTTCGTTAGATCGGCGATGTAATACACCACTGGGCCACACCGAGTTGCGAAGGGTTGACATAGTCAATCAAGTAATATGTGAACGACCCCCAGTATTTAGTTAAATTTAATATGAACATTGTTTTAATAAATATAAGCAATGTTCATGTAATGACAGGACCGGCATGCGTACGTGCGCGCGCGACTAATACGACGTTGTCACGCGCGAATCGGATTACTTTCATGTCACTGCGTTCCCCATTCAAGCAGGAGACTTTTTCGCCAATAAACAGAGCGTGTCTGAAGTTGTTTTCTCGGATTTTGTGGCGAATGTGAATCTTTAATCTTGTAATTTGCCTATTATCAAGCTAATACCAATATTATTCTACCCTCCGCTTTTAACAACTATCATACACTGAACCACTCTGAAACGGCAGAAATAGATGAGATGAGGGCAAGCGTGCTACACATGGGTCAAGCACATTAGATGTTGAATATATTCAAGGTACTTTTAGAATTTGTCTATAGTTTCAAGCTATCATCGAGCAATTACCTATTTAAAATCCGGTCACTTACAGTCTATAATAGTTTGAAACTGAAATCACCAACCCAGAGTTGAGAAGTTAATTAGGAAATACTAATTAATAGTCCAATTATTCGATCAAAATTCGATGACATAATCTAAAATTACATCAACATTTTTAGTACTAAAACAAACTTTACTGAAACAAAAATTGGCAAATTACCCACAATTAATTTTTTTTATTACTAGCTTGCATGCCTTAGCTCCCAAAAAATAACAAAATATCTAATCCTAGAATCAATAAAATGAAACAATTCTAATATTGAATCAACAAATACTCTAACAAGAGGATTTATATATTTTATCTATCTGTAAATGTCCTGAAGTTTTGCCAGCTGGGCGAGATGAGTTTCCTTCAACTGTTCCTCTGATATATGCAGGCTCAGGAGCTGAAAGAAAATGACTTTAGTCAAACTTTTTGAAAACTTCTTTAAATCTTTGACAAAGGGAAGGTTATGTTGTCGGTTTAAACAAGATGTAAATTGTAAAAATCTGCTAATATTTTTGCCGTAATTAAAAAAAAGAAACGTTCGTTTTATGATATTTGGTTTGCACATTCAGCACATTTTTATAAGATTATACCATATCCTCCCCTGTGACAATGACTATCTTAGTTACTAGTATAAAGTCGACAGTTCTTGTTGTATACTGTGCTAACTTGCGAAAGAGGAAAATTGCGGCGGAATGTACAGTAAAGTAACGTGTGTAATGTCCATGATACGAATTTGAAGGTGTGTAATACTGGGCACATACCAACATACCAACATACCAACATACCAACATACCAACTGGACAGCTTGTTTGCCAGGTGTTGGTCAAATTAAGAGTTGAATTTAAACTTGAAATGATCATAACTTTGGTTGTGATAAGAAATAATAAGAAATATTCCAGGACAAAATTTAACTGTTGTAAAAAATATGTTGCTACCAATACACTGCCCTACCACCCTTCCATGTGTCAACGGGCAATCTAATATATTAGATACATACATAATACATAATGTAATACCTACATAATAGTAATACCTATAAATTAATTAATTAACTACATTAATTAATTACCTCATTGACGAAGAAATCCTCTTCCAGTAACTGATCAGGTAGCCGATACTTCAAGTATTTAAGAGCTTTGTCGAAACTGCAGAATTTAAATGGAATTAAAATGTAATACCAATTCCATCAATTCCATCATTAATTAAATCTTACATAACAGAATTTTAAACTGCGCCAGTTTGTCCTTGACGTGACTGATCTTGATACCAACAGGTCGCTTGGAACACGACCAACTAACAATCCCTCCGCAAGCAATTACCTGTCACAGACATCCCGTACTTTCTTGTCGCTAAATGCCAGCATAAGTAAAGTCACACCCGTCTTTATTAAAACTTTAACACCTGAAAAATAACTGTTCACAACCACATTACATTGCCAAAATTACATTGGACAAAAGTTAATTATATTTGTTATGAACCGCGACTGTGATTTTGCAACACTGACCAATAATTGATAAATTGATCTCTTTTTTACAATTCGCAAAGCAATCCGCGACACGTGCACTGATCGGTTTTTTTTCGAACATGGGTGGATCGGAGAGGCTCTAGCTGGCAATTTGGCTTGAAGTTGAGTGCTACTATTATCCCAATGGACCTACAAATTTGAGATGGAATTTCATCTAGTTGTTCGGTTAACAACAACTTAAGACAAAATGTTTACTTAATATTTGGTGGACTAAATATTGTCTTAGAATGCAGTATAAAGTGTGTGTTTTCCTTGTTCCGAGGTGTGTTACTTTGATTACATTATAGCGGAAACACCTATAATACACAATAACTACCAGGGAGAGAGGTTCGTGGAGACAGGTGTTGACACATAGCGGATGAGACAATTATACCCCAATATCTCCACAATCCACATCACGCCCGTATTCAGCCAAACATTCAGCCGAAACATTTGGGCGATATAATTCTAGCGTCAAATGCTTTTTAAAAGGTTCGAGTATAAATCCCGTACGTATAATAAATGGAAAATACAATTTAAAATGAATTTAGGATATTTAATGCAAAATATTGAAAAATTCAGGAGTCTTGGCGTTTTATGTAAAATCACTTTTGTAAATTGGCGTTCGTAGTGTGGTTAACAAACCTTCACATAAGAACATGTCCCATATTCGTAGAACTGTTTCCCAAGGCAAGGTCCGAGTATACGCACAGAGGAACCACTCCACTGCATAAAATGTAGCCTGTACGTCGTTCCTTCTCTGAATGAAGAACTTAAATTAAATAATGAAGTATGAACCATAATCCATTAAGACAGAATTATAAAAATTGTATTTCATTGTAATGATGATGTACAGAGGAGTAATTCTCACCAAAAAAGCACTGATTTTAGGATCAATATCGTTAACGAGGGACTCCATTACCCTTCCGTCAAGTTGAACAGCCAACAGCCCGTCGCTGAAGTAACCGGGCAGATACTTGTTCATTATCGCCACCAGACACCAGAACGCTTGCTCAGCTGGCATCAGCATCAACAATATTCCTGCTATTGAGGTCATCCCCTGAGGTATAGTTTCATGTGAAATATTAGCAGTAGGAGAATTTAGCAGCTACTTTAAGGAGGGATCCGGAGGAAGAAATGTATGAAATAATTTTATGGAATTTACTGTTAAAATTGGAAACCTACCTGGCAGTAGCCTACTTTAGGATTGTAAATAGAATAAGCCTTCAGAACCTTCTTCATTTCAGTTTGCCCTAAGCCACCCTCTTCCGCAAACAGTTCGTGTAATTTGTAGGTTCTAGGAAGATCTTTTTCAATGTATACCATCCACTGACTCTCCTTTCGTAACAAATCCTGAAAAAACAAAAAGTTTGTTTTGCCTCTCACTAAAACTGACCTCAAACATGCCAGGATTCTCACTAAAACTAACCTCAAACATGCCAGGATTCTTCTGCTGGAGATTTGCAGCACCACAAAGTGCCCGCCAGACCGCCGCCCTTAGAGAGTGTGGGATTCCTTTCCTGCACCGCACACGCACCTTGTCGTAGCTGAGAACCATTTTGTTACAATCACCTAGCACATCATAGTTAGTACTTATCTATGCAAAAATACAGCTTGATTCGTTTCACGTTGGTTTGTTGTGTATACTGTATAAGTGTCATTTGCTTCGGTTTTGACTCTGAAAGTTTTCGATTCTTGACTATCTGAGAACAGAATCATGCTAATGGGCAACCAATCTTTAGTTTATTTCTAAAATGAACCAAGGCTTTTTACCTGGATGTCATAAGATGATCCCAATTTTTGAGCATTTCAAACCATTTTCTTTCCCTTTCTCTAGTTAGAGTCGTGTTCAGGCTGCGGAAAAAAGAGTAATACAATAATAATATACATTATACATTATACATTATACATTATACAACATATACTAAAGTAAAGTAAAGTAAAGTAAAATTTATGACATCACACATGTCTACAAAATATCATCGCACTATGTGAAAAAATGTATGATAAGCATTTCCCCACCAACATTAATTATTTATCATAAACATTATCTTAAAAACTCCCAGTGGAACAAAGATTTATAAAACGCTTCTTTGCCACAAAAGGATGGAACCAAAGATAATCGTTATGTTTCTGTTTATTACTGACATAACTGGCTCCCTCAATTCTCACCAAAACTTCATCAGAAACACTCCAAAAAAAGCAATCATTTGTAATACTTTTAGAAATCATATCTTTCTTAAATCCTTCTAATTTAACCTAAAACTGCCACAGAGTTCTTGACGAAACAGTAGTCATAGGTGCCGAACAATGGCCCTTTGACTCTTGCAATAACTACGTACAAGAAACATCTAGAAAAATACTATACACATACCTTACATTTAAACTTTAAACCTATCATAACAGCACGAACGTAAGGTTACAGTAAAAACCTGATTTACCGCAAAATTTGCTTTCCCTTAAACTCTGCTATGAATCAAGATTCTACTGTACCATGTAACATACAATGAGCACAAGGTAACGTACTGGTGTCGTGGTAACAATTCCCAATAACTGTTTGGTATGATAGTTGGGTATGTAATTCAGAAATGATAAAAATCAGATGTGAAGCACTTACCTGCTGGAGCAAGGGCTATTATCATGTGATGAACTACTGAAACCAAACTTGTTTACAGTTTTAGGATTAAATTCATCACATGTTCTTCTTTTCCTCTTATCTTTATCAGCAGAAGATTTCTTTTGTGACATTTTCAGAGAGTTAACAATCACATTCTGAGATTGCAATAGACATCTAGATTAGGATAGATTAGAGTCTATATCATCAAAGTCAATTAAGTATTATCTTGGACAACATTAATTCTTCCTGTTGAACGGTTTTTGTTGTTAGTTTGAGAAACAAAATTTCAATTTCAATGAATATTGATATCAACATATTTAATCAATCAATTGATTAGAAAAAACACTTGATAAAAGTATTATTCATTATTACGTATTAGTTACACATGATATTAGGTTTTTGCATGATATTTTATTTTTTATTAATAAAAACAGACAATGACAGAATACTGCTATTGCAGCCAACTGGCAATTAATAGATTGTGAATGAGTCTCTAATTTATTAAAGAGAGATGTCATGGTTTGAAACTATGTAGGCAGGCAAACGCTGCTGTAAGGACACCATTGGGACTCCGAAGCTGAGAGCAAAAGTGTGAACTAATTGGAGCCTGTGCACATTTAGTGGTCAATGTGCAAAGTAGTTTACATGTATTTGCAGGATATTTGGCCTGTATCTGGATCATTCACATATTACATAATCACTTTTTAGCCAATACTAGAGACTTTAAACACAAACAGGTCCATTGGATTAATAGTAATTTAGAAGTAATTATAATGCTGTGGCGATATTTTGAATTAATTCTACAATGGAATTGGAGTGTGAAGCTTGATTATTTTAAACATTTCTAGAATGGTACTAATATAGACTGTGTACGGACAGTATTGAGTTCCTAGCACATGTAAATAGAAATAATTCTGAGGTTTGCTCAGTACATAACATCATCGGTACATTACTAGTATGGTAATTGGTAATACCCTTGATGTTGAAGACACTCTCAATCATTCAAGAATTCTATTTTATTTTTTTTTCAACAAAAAAAAGGGTGGACCCCCAACCCATGTAGCTGAGACACCTCACAGCAAGTAGACCAAAGTAGCTCTTGCTTGTGATCAGTGCATCAACTACCCGCCGAAGCAGTGGGTTGGGAGTCCCCCCTGGGATCATTTCGTCTGTAAAATTGTATACAATATAAAATTGTACAGTAAAATATCTGCAAAATTTACATAAACAATCATTCAAGAATACAGCAATTTCAAGAAAACAACAATTGTATTTAGTATCAATTAAAGCAAACAAAAATATATTTTATATTAAAGTCACTATTGTGACTGTACATTAGAACTAGATAGAAACAAAGTGTGAAGGGCCTGAACGGAACCCCTCGGTTTCAGTTCCTTGTTTAACACTGCTGTACAGCAAGGACATTTGCCGGGTTCTCCAAGGATGGGCACTTAGCTCACTCCACACAATGCTCTGTCAAATGTTGATTATATACCAAGGATGTACAGGAAATATTTCCTTGTAAGTTTAGAGGGCGATCTGTGAACAGACAACTACCTCATTCCCAACTATAGGAACCAGAATTCCTATACTATCCCAACAAGCTACACCAAGCATAGTTATATAACTAGCACGACTTTTGGACCAGATATCTTAGGGGACTTGGAGTAGCAAGAAAGTGGCCAGAAGGTATATAGCTTTTACACAAATACAAAACGTCGAAAAGAATCAAGGAACATTTTTTGAACATTTAAAATATAATTTGGAACGTTATTCAAATCTCAAACAGAAAAAAGTATATTTCAAAGCTTTGTGTTTTGATCATATGATCATGGGTGTATAGTGATTTTGATTGCATAAATTTGATTGGGCAGTGATGGTGAGTGAGAAAATGATGGGAGTGCCAGCCAGTTACTCTGTCAAATGAACAGCCCACCGCAAACACGAGAACGGCAGAAAGGGTGGCATAAAACGGAACACACGGCCACAGAAAAGACACAGAAACTAAACCGTGCGCGGATTATAGTTATACAGGATTGGAGTAAAGTTTATGCACCCACTCTTGCCTCCTGAATTTGTTGGTTGGATAGACATTTAAGCGTCGTTTATACTCCAAGTCCCTTTGTTAAAAGAGAAGTATAATTTATCTCCGGAATTAACTAATTCATTCAACAATAACAATATCAATATCAAATAAACGGAACTATCGAATAAATTATCAAGTATTAATTCAATCTGATGAAAAAATGTTTGTAAAAATGGCCACGGGCCTAAATATTACATATTAATCAATTACAATTCATTAACATTACCAATATTAAAAACTGTCCAAAATATCTAAGAAAGTATTCTCTAGCCAAAGGGCTCAATATTTAAATCTAAATCTTCAATATTGTCTGGTTTATGTCGCAATTTGGGCCCTCTGTCCCCCCTTATCGAAATAACTGGCGTCTTTAACACCTCAAAGCGCAAGCGCTTTCTAAGATATGTAACTGAGTCTGAATATCGCTGACCTGTTGGAAATTCCATCTTCTGTGCAAGCTTTTTAAACAAGCGTTGCGCTTCGACTCCCATGCCTCCTGTTGTGGAGAAAACTAAAGGTGTAAAGGAAGCTTTTTCCACGTCTTCTAGGACCCTTGCATTATATGCTCTTTTCTTCTCAGTCTCGTGAGCCAAATACATCATAGGAATTGGTTTAGCTGCGTTGGTTGGAGCAGGAGCGTGAAACACTCTTACATCGAAAAATGCTCTTTCCAACGCATTCCAAACTGATCTTGCTGATATATCTAGTCGGGCTTGATCTCCAGTTACTGTACCTCGTGGTAACTGCATGCCGCTGACTGGAAGAAGAGGGGGCTCTGTCTGAACGTCTTTGCATTTGACTGTCCGCATGATATTAGCTAAATTGTATCTCGAAGTGAGTAATGCCTCAAGGTCACATAACCCCTAAGTTTACACGTGAGGGCATGGTTTGCGGAGTAGGAATCACCATTCACCACAAGTACAAAGTTTTGGACAATCTTTCAGCTTCAGGTTAAATCTTAAAGATAAAGCATCTGAAAACTGTTGCTGTGAAAAAATTGTAAATTAATTTATATTATGATTCAAACATTACATAAAGTGGTTAAAAACGCTTAAAATCGATCTGAGAGCTTTTCAGCCTAGATAGTTAATAGTATTATCATGAAAGCAATAGGTGCTGTTGATAAGGTCATAGCGTGCTGGTGATATGAATTAGTGTATAATGGTCATCTAGCTTACTGGGCCACGCTCAGCCTGTCATTCCGCCGAATCTCTACTATGTCGAATCTCTATTATGATTATGAACATAAATATAATAGCCTGAGGTCCCCAGGTAAGATCTAGCTAGTGATATAGTTATAGCAATCGCTAGTCAGTGGTTGGTCAGTGCTCTAATATAATAGCTTCGAGATCAAACAAGTGTGGGAACCGAACTAGATCACTACATATGCTGTCAGGGAATCGAATTAGATCACTACATATGCTGTCAGGGAATCATACCAACCACTTTTATTTTAGTATATCGATTTAAAACTATTTAATTGCATCCTTTAAACTACAAGCTACTTAAACTTTGTATTGAATGATGTACCGCTGACAATAATATAGAATCGAGTGAGTGTTGGACGTCAAGTTGCACGGCTATCTAAAAATAATAGTAGCGCTCGATTCTCGTTTATATTTTCTCCAATTTCCCCTACCATTGCTAATTGACAAAGACAAAATGATTATAAAATTTTAAATTCTAAATTGTTTATTTCAAATTTGAAATTATTAAAAAAAAAGAAAACAAATTTTAAGAAAAACAAGTTTTCATTTACCACAAAACAATCAATACATAATGTTATATTTATAAATAAATTAAAATTTCAATTTCAATCATATATACAGCCAGCCGCGCACACGTTGAGAAATTCTTAGTCTAGTTGCAGTTGTAAGCGCCGCGCGCTGAGTCTATTCTATTCAATTGTTATTATACAATTACATAACACATAATAATATAACATGTCACATTTATTAATTACTAAAGCAAAAATTTCAGAAACAGAATAATTTTTAGGGAAACTTCGGTCGTTTGCTGTTTGCGCAGTACAAGCCATAAATACTTGTTATACGTTGTATGACCCGCGTGGCTCCAGCTCCTCCTGTATGATCGTAGAAATTACTCCACTATGGTGAAACAACAATGAGGATCACAACGTGATACGAAGCTTACGTATATAAGAAATGTAAATTGATATTACAAATTAAAGTAGCATTAAACATGAAAAACAAGTGAGAAGCTGATCAGCATGTGAGATCTAACGCTGATATAAGGGGTTTTGTATGTTTATAACCTACCAGGACACGCGCCGAGTTGGACTCGTCGACGGTCCTGGTAGGTCGAAATACGAGTCAATTACGGCAGAAAAGTGCCGTAGATGCTGATTGGCTGAAACGTTTGCGCCAATAGGAGAGCTTATATTGAGTCACGTTTAATTGACGATGTCAATTCATCTCAGCTCGGCGCGGCACAGTAGCGCATCTCGCCGATCTGTCCACTGTCGCTGTGAGAAGCCTCATTGAGTGCGCGGCGCGGCACAGTAACGCATCGCGCTACAAAGTCACGTAAGCTATGTGCGGCGTAAAATCACTCTGCAGTCTGCGGATCGAAATTATGTGATCAAATCGAGCGCTCATCAATTTTGTCTGGCTTTGTAGCTTCACTTACTTACGCAGTTTATAATCGATTCACTGTTGTTTTGTTCGCTGTCTAAGACCGTATTGAAATTAAGCTTACTATTTGATAACAGATTCTATTCTATATGGAACAGATATTTTACGAGTATCGCCCGTTAAAAGGGGTCCCGGGTCGTTCACATATTACGGAATCAATATTTTGACAATTTTTACCCCCCTCAGCTCCGTAATCAACCGTAATCAAGACCGAACGCGAACCCCCCCCCCATATTACGTTATCAAGGTTTGACAATTGACTCCCCCCCGTAATCAAGACCCAACCCCCTCCTATATTACTTACCTGGGGACCTCAGGCTATCATGTTCATATAGAGATTAGGCGGAATGACAGGCTGAGCGCGGCCCAGTAACTATATTACATGTTCATGTTAAGCTTGCTCTAACCAGAGCCCTCTCGCTTGCAGTAGCGCGCGACCGCCGTAGGCGGCAAAAGAAACAAGCGCGTCACGCAGTACGCGTAGACACAGTTTTTTACTTTCAACACTACTATATAACAAATAATTTGAGGTATGACACGAGGAGATACGGCACGAAAACGAAATGTCAAGAAAAGTCCAGAGAAAACTGGTGCTACAGCAGAAACGGATGTAACTGAAGATGAAGGAGACCGTAGTTGTGAATGCAGAAGGTATATCGCAGAGGAGTTTTCATTAGCTTGTGCAACCTGTGATATGTACTGGCATTATTGCTGTGTTGGACTGACAGGTCTGACACAAGAAGAAGGCGACCATCTGTCTAACTGGCGTTGTCAGAATTGTTTTATATCACCTTACATAAAAAGCAAAAGGACTCAGACCTCGAACCCTGATAATGAAGAAACAAAAATACTAAGGAATGTTATTAGGCAGGAACTTGAGGCTCTTACACCTTGTATCAGAGGGGTTGTTGAAAACGCAGTGAACGAGAACATTCCAACTAACTTTGAGTCTGAAAAACCTAAAGAAATATCAAAGATAGTGAACCAGGCTTTCCAGTCCTTCGCTGATGTTACTGCAAATAGTCAGAAGAAAGTTATGGAAGAAATGAGCCTACAGCAAGCTTCACAAAGTGTTGTCAGTAAAGTTCAGACAAAGATGCACACTGATGCATATGAGCGAAATTTAAGGAAGCTCAATCTGTGTGTTTTGAATGTACCAGAGAGCAAGAAAGCTAACTCCAAGTTACGCCAGGAAGAGGACTCAAAGTTCTGCAAGGAGACACTAAAGATTGAAAAAAGTGACTTTATCAGTTGCCATCGTGCAGGTAAAGTGGATCCAGGTAAGCCAGACTCCTGTCGGCCATTGATCATCCAGACAGCTGACGAGGAGTCAGTTAACTATTATTCCAACCATGGCAAGGGCTGGAAAGAGTCATCATACTGGATAAATCTGGATCTCTGCAGAGCAGACCGAGAGATCCGTTTTTTAGCCAGAGAAGAGAGGAAGAAGAGGCAGGAAGAAGCAGAGAAGGAAAAGACAGAGAAAAAGGTGGAGAAGAAGTAAATAGCAGTGATAAAGAATGTAGTCAGCCCATGAATATTTTTTATACTAATGCTAATGGACTATTTAATAAAATTGATGAACTAAAATGTATTCTATCAGTTTATAAATCCATTCATGTAATCTGCATTACAGAAACTCATTTTAATAGTGATATTTTAGATGCTGAAATTTTTATTGAAGGTTTTAGTATGTTTAGAAAAGACAGAGATTTTAAAATCGATAACTCCACTAGCAACATAAGTGGAGGTGGAGGTTCTATTATTTATATTAAAAACAGTTGCAATGCTTCATTAGTGAGCTCATTTTTAAAAGCACCAGACTCTTTAGCTATTAATGTCAATACCTCTGGTGGATTGATTAGTATTTGTTGTATTTATAGGTCTACATCTTTGAATTTAAAACAGAATAATATGTTATTATCTTGCATCAAGAACATATCTAGTGAAAAGAATGTTTTTGAAACCATTATCATAGGAGATTTTAACCTACCTAATGTATCTTGGGAAACTGGTAGTGTAAATAGTGGTATTTCTAGTAAGAATCAGGTTTTAATGATTCAACAAAAGTATATTGATTTATTTAATGACAGTGGTTTGACGTGGTACTTTACTAACGAAACAACCAGAAGACGGCTTGTGAAAGATACTCTCCAGGAGAGTCTTCTTGATCAGGTTTTGTATACAAATGATGCTCTTGTCAACGGTTGTAAGATCGTTTCTCCGCTTGGCAAAAGTGATCATGTTGGGATACTAGTCGAACTGGTTGTTTCGCCCAATACTAACAAAAGTCCCAAACAAAAGATTTTAAAGCCTATTTGGGGTAAGATTTCCTCAGAAGAGTTATATAACTTTAGTATGAATAATATTGACTGGGATTATAGTTGTACAAATAATGTTCAAGATATGTGGGTTGAACTACATGGTAAATTGGAGTCTGTTGCTGCAGCTGTCCCAGCTGCTTCGGTTTATCTCGACAACAGACCTGTCAAGTTGCCATGGAGTACAACTTCACTTAAAAGAATGAGGAAGAACAAGGACAGAGCATGGGCTGAATTCGATATTAATCCTTCGGATATTAACTTTAGCTGTGCAAATAGCAAGCAGCGTATTTTTGAGGTGGCAGAAATTAAAGCTAAAGTAAATTATGAAAAGAAGATTACATCTAATTTAAAACAGAATTGTAAATCTTTTTACTCGTATTTGCGTAATAAACGTCAAGTTAAGTCAAGTGTTGTTTCTTTAGATAGAGGAGATGGTACACGCACAGATAGTTCATCTGAGTCAGCTGAGGTACTTGCTAGTGCCTTTAGTTCTGTGTTTGTGCGTGAACCACCTGGCCCTCTTCCCCAAAATGAGAGTTATAACAAAGAGGTTATTGATGATATGGAAATTAGCAGTTCTGATATCAAGAAGCAGCTTTTAAAGCTTAATGTTTTTAAAAGTTCTGGTCCGGATGGCGTTCATCCATCATCCAAAGTTGTTGAAATCCTTAGCATACGATGAAAAGTTTGTTGAAGCTGTAACTAAATTATTTGTTAAGTGTTCAGAAACAGGAGTCCTGCCTGACATTTGGAAGACAGCATCTGTTGTAGCATTGTTCAAAAAGGGTGTTAAATCTGATCCCTTAAATTATAGACCTGTCTCATTAACTTGTATTTTGTGCAAAGTGTATGAAAAGTTGGTGAGGGCACATTTATTAACATTTTTAGAAGAACGAATTTCAAAGCATCAGCATGGATTTGTGAAGGGTAAATCTTGTCTATCTAATCTCTTAGAGACATTTGATAATATTCTTGATATTTTAGACGAAGGTGCTCCTGTCGATCTTTTGTATTTTGATTTTAGTAAAGCTTTTGACACAGTCCCCCACTTTAGACTTCTATCTAAATTGGAGGGGTTTGGGGTCAAGGGAAAAGTTTTAGATGTTATAAAAGACTTTCTGACAGACAGAACCATGAGGGTTTGTGTAGAAGGACAATGGTCTGAGGTGAAACACGTGTTATCTGGTGTTCCCCAGGGGTCAGTATTGGGTCCTTTGCTATTTATTCTTTATATAAACGATTTACCTGACAATGTTAAAAATAAGATTAAATTATTTGCAGATGATCTCAAGTTAGTTTGTAATGCAGCTAACCATAGAAGTGTATCTGATGATATTTTAGAACTCGAAATTTGGGAGAGTATTTGGCACTTAAACTTCAATCCTGCCAAGTGTAAAGTAGTCCATATTAATCTGAATAACAATCCTAACTCGAATTATATTGTAAATGGAGTAGAACTAGAAGTATCTGCACAGGAAAAAGATTTGGGGGTTATTACCCATAGCTCCTTGCTTTGGAATGAACAGATAAAAGCATGTATTTCTAAAGCAAATCGTATGATCTGCTGGATTGTAAGGAACTTAGTTATTAGAGAAAAGGTTGTAATGATAGCTATTTATAAAGCTTTGATAAGACCTCATCTTGAGTATTGTGTCCAATTGTGGAATCCAGTTGCGGCTCATGGAAGTTGGGGGACTGTTTTGGAGCTGGAGAGCGTCCAGAGGCGGTTTACCCGTCTTATTGATGAGGTGGGTACTCTTCCATACAGCTGCAGACTGGATATCCTCAATTTGACAACGCTGGCAGAGCGGCGAATACGTGGGGACCTTATCGAAGCTTTTAAAGTAACTAGTGGTTTGACTGAATATGGATCGGGTTTGTTCAGAATGAGCAGATCTGGTCTTAATCTAGTTTCAACCAATAGGTGTAATAAGAGTGTAACTAAAGTTAAGAATCTCCAGTCTTCTTTTCTTCCGGAGCAAGTCATTCCTTACTGGAACAAACTCCCTTCAGATGTCAAGAACTGCTCGACAGTTTTAAGCTTTAAAGTTAGATTGGAAGGATTTAAGAAAGAAATGATTTCTAAAAACAGTGTAAATGATTTTTATTTTTGGAATGTTTCGAATGAAGTTTTAGGGAAAATTGAAGGACCCAGTTATTTAAGCAATAAGGAGACACATAATGAATATCTTTGGTTTCATCCTTTTGTGGCAAAGAAGCGTTTCATAAATCTTTATTCCACTGGGAAGTATTAATGAATTATTTATAGATAATGTATTAGATTTTATTAATTAATAAAATTGAATTTGATAAATTATTAATGTTGATGGAAAAATATATTTATTTAAATTATTTTTTTATTTAGTGCAATGATATTTTGTAGACACTTGTGATGATGTTATGTCATAATCTTTACTTACTTACTTACTTACTACTTACTTACTTACACATGGCTATGTGAAATGTTAAGCCATTTATCTATTAAAAGCTATCACAACGGATTTATGAATGAAATAATCGCAACGCACGAAAATTTGGATTACATAATTAACGAAAATTGTCCAATTGGTATTTCGAAAATCGGTAAAAAATTAAAATTTTGATTAAGTAATCAACGACCAAACCCCCCCCCCCCTGTAATCAACCGTAAGCATTTGAAAACCCCCCTCGGCTGATTACGTAATATGTGAACGACCGCTAATAAGGTGTTAGGTGTAAGGAAAAATAAATAAACTATAAGCTGTAAGCTAAGGGACAAATTTGAAATTAAATATTATTTTCTTGAAATTGTTGTTTTCTTGATGCTTGAGTAATTTTCATTATGGGACTTTACTGTCATTCCGCCGAATCTCTATTTATTTATGAACATGATAGTCTGAGTTTCCCAGGCAGGCTACTAAATTTTTTGTAAAGTAGAGTATCATTTTCAGAGTAAATTCAGAGTCAGAGTAAGGTAATATGGGACCAAGTACAGTCCAAAAATACTGCCTACTGTGTCAGTTTCGGGAGTTACCGACACCTACTGTAAATAATGCTTTGAGCTCTCAGATCGTATTGGATCAATTCTGAATGGCTCTTACTAAATCGCTCGCCCAAAAATTTCACGTGACTTTGGTTTTTTTGGTTTTGCAGCCGTACAAAACGTACATACATACATACATGCTACATGAAGAGGTCTCCTCCTAGTCGTTGGAGTGGCCTGCATC